CAGAGAGAGATCTATATCAGCATGTTGATATTCATTGACTTTGAGTTGCACTTTCATCGTGTCGGTTGTTTCCCCCATCAGGTGAATGTTTAGATGCGCCGCAAATCTCTCGCTTTTAAAAGTCGTTTTTCCATGTGTGTTTTGCCGACTTGCCCTGAAACCATCCGAGAACTTTTTTGTTGGACTCATTGAGCTGGTGTGTGGCCATGATGAATTTGCCTTCCTTTAGGAACTGCGAAAACAGGTTGTGCTCTCTGAGTGCTTTGAGGTCTGGGGTAATCTTGTCCGATGCAATGTAGAAGCTGAAGCTAACTTTTGTTTGTTGTTTTCCCGACGTTCCCAGTCTGTGCTTTTACGTCCAGGTGTTTCTTGAGGAAGTCTGTTTTCTTATTGGCAAGGGCTGAGACTCCAATTCCATTCTTTTCGTCATTGTTGTGTGGCAGGATGATTGCTTTTGGGTCGATGGAGGCTATGATTTTGAACATGCTTGGAAGGTCTGTGGACTCAAGGCACATTCGTCTTTCTTGCCAAATCTGAGCATGATGACTCCAGTTCGGTACTGTCTGTCTTCTTCAGGAAATGAGACTCCACTCGATTTTCCTTCTTTGCTTTTGCGACCCCGGACTTCAGTGAAACCTTCATCGGGGCCTTTGGTTCCCATGGCAAATTCTTTTCTTGCTTTTGCTTCTGCCCAGCGTTTCATTTCTTCTTCGGTAGGCATCATCATACCAGGCACAAATGCTGCTGCTGCTTTCACTGCTGCTGCTTCTTGGCTCCCTCCTCAGCTGGTTTCTCGGTCAATTTGCTCATTTTCCTTCGTTCCCACTCCCATAAATTCAGATAAATTATTTCTGAGGCTTGTCACCTTGGTTTCCTGGAATGCCGGTTTCATTTTTGATGACCCCGCGGCCTTGCTGTTGCTAGTGTTCCTCCTGCTGAATGGCAGATGCCGATTTCTCTGCTTCCTTCTCGTTATCTCCCATGATATCTTCAACGGACTCACTTGGTGGGTATCCTAACACAGTGCTTTGCTTGAATGGAGCTGGGAACAGTCTTCTGAGCAGATTGGCAGAGGTCGATGTCGCCGAATGCCGTGATGTCCACCGTTGCTTCCAAATCTTCTTGTTTCTCGTCGAATTTTCAACCAGTTGTCTCGGTACTTGCACCAGGGCCTTTACTTGAGATAACAGTGAGGTTTCCTTGCTCCTTTTCCTCTGAAACGATGTCGTATTAGTTCGCAGTTTTGTCAGTTTTGTCAGTTTGTACTGTTTTACTATAGGGACCTAGAAAAAGACTTAACGTCTTCCCAATTCCGATATCTGTCCTTTCGAAACAAAAACCGATATAGACGCTGTGTATCTATAACGGATATATAGGTATGGGGGAGAAGACAGGTTGCACACCTGAAGAATTTCGAGGCCTCAAAAGAATCATCCCTTCCTATACCTGTGTACAACACCTCGGAAGACAGGGTGCGAATCCTCACTAACTGTCCCCCATGGTTTAGATGCCAATCGTCTCCCTGGGCACGCCAGCACCATCATTTGCCTGCAAGAATACCTTCCATGGACCATTCTCTTCCCCAGCAACTACCGAGCCAGCAACAGCAAAGCATCCAGGATGCACAACACCAGACACATAGGTGTCATTGATTGTTAGCCCCTTCCCATCAATGTAGTGACCATTCAAGCTGGAGCCGTCAATAATGGTGCATCCTGTGTAATGCAGCTTCCCACACTCATAGAGTGTGTTTCCAAAGTACCACAACTCCCCATCAACTTCAGCTCCCATGAGGCGAGCAAAGTAGGCAAACATGGGTGTGCCATAGAGAAGGTACACAAGCCAGTTTTGATTGCGGAAAATCCAGACATGGTTGAGGTAGATCCCAAAAAGATTAAATTGAAGATGGTTGGGCAAGACCAATAGCAACCTTTCAACTGCCCATGTCAAGAGAAGCCATAGGAGCAATTGCAGGATGAAGGCAGCTGCCAAACCACAGGATGTGACCATGATGGAAGAGCTCTTGGTTGCAACAAGACCCAGTTCGAAGGCAGGAATTAGGGAGGCAAACAGGACCACATTCAACAGCATCTGTGCCACTTCTGGAAGAATCAAATTCATTTTCATGGGCTGCCCTGATTGGTTCAAGTCATAGATACTGTCAGGTACATTGGTCCTTGGAGGGACTGTGGATTGCATGATCTTGACACCTGCATGCAGATTGATGTTGTAGCCCACACTGCTGTTGATGATCTCTACCTTGGAGTTCCCTTTCTTGCTAAAGTCAAGTGAAATAGTTGCCACAAATGACTCTCTGATCTTCACAAAATCAACTTTTGAGGGTGGGAAGATGAAGTACGGATTGTCAGGCCCTGATTCCATGTCAATATCAAGACCATGCACGAAAAGAATTAAGTTCCAAAGTCTGGACTGGCCAGTGAAAGGAGCAAGAGTCCAAGCTGCAATCCGAAAGTGGAAGTCACATGCCCAATTGGTTGCCCGGCGATAGAGTGTTCCTTCGTATTCATCAGATGGGTCTCGTTTCCCAATCAGTACCCATTTCAGAGCAATGCTTGTAAGAAGTGCAAGTAGGGAGGAGACAGGAACCAGAAAAATCCAATGTACTATTGTAGCATAGCGCCAATCAGGCAAGATTGAGTTCAGTGAGACATGGACCAAGAATGAGAGGGCAAAGAAATGATAGGCTTCAAGGACCATCCAGAATATCTTGAAGATATCCAACATGGACTCTTCCAAATGGAGTGATTCTTGATGTTCAAAGGAGCCAGCATTGTATGCTGGATTTCCCTGGGCAAGGACACCGTCTGGTACAATGGCTCCTTCATCAACAACAGACAGTTTCTCCACCTTGCTGCCATCTCCAATTTTGGCCCCAGGGCTGACCATGCCAGAGATCTTGCAGTTCTTTCCTACAACAATGGGATAGAACGTTATCTTGGGGTTGGCATCTCTATTTGCATGAGAGAACTTCCGGCTCTTCATAGGGTGACTAATGACACTATTGTCACCAATTGTAACAAGGTCAAACTCGCGAATATGGGATTCGATCTTTGCAGACCATGCCAGGTCTGCTCCAAGCACTTTATAGAAGATCCAAATGAACTTTGTCTCCAAAAGAAACTGTCCAACAAGTGATTCCCAAATATCCAGGATCCTATCAACAAACCACCAGCAAACAAAGTTCCATGATAAGAGCTCAAATTGCTGAGATTGATATTTCCTGACAACAGCAACCTTGCAGATTACCACAATCACTGAAAAAGACAGAATGAATAGAGGAAAGACCAGAGGCAAGAGCACCCAAAAGACCAACCCGCGGCACTCCCCTTCTTCATTTAAGTCACAGTTCCCCAGTACCCAGGTGACAAGAAAGTAGGATGGCACAACTGAGGCAAAGAGCAAGAGCAGAATGGCCAATATTCCAGTTGTTTGGATCACTCCAACAAGTAGTAGGCTTAGACTTGACCCCGATGAGTTCCAAAGGAAGCCAGGGTGATCACACAAGTCTTGCGTAGGGAAACTCTCACCCTCTGATGTCGTGAGGAAGACTGCAAGAGCCTTGGGTGTTGGATAGAGCTGTTCAAAGTTGGGTGAGAGTACAACAAACAACTCCTCTTCTACTCTGCTCCTCAGCTCAGCACTCTTAAGAGATGTGAGTCCATTCTCAGCCCATGATTTTGATGTGTCAATATGTGACCCAAAGACAGACATGATTATATTGTCATATCTTATGGAGAAGTCAGCTGGGTCTGTAGCTCCGGCACCAGATTTAGAGGCATTGATATCAGAGTTTGGGTTGGTTGTCTGGGCTTTCTGGTTTTCACTTCCCCATTGGTCAAACAGGGAGAGCCAATCTTCTTCATTGAGTGTCATTCCTTTGTCATTGCCAAGTGGTGGGTGGGAGTATCCAAGTTCTTGAGCCCAAGAAAGGTTGAGCCTTCCAAAGATCTCAAGTGCTCTTCTTGACAAGATTGATTGGGTGTAATACTTTGGAGAAGTTGTTTTCCTTCCTATAGTCTGTAGAACCAGATACAAGCTTGTTGTCCTGGCATAAAAGAAACTTGCATTGACATCTCCAATGATGCAAGGTAGCAGCAATTTGGATGCCATCCAAGTGGAGGAGTCCTTATCTGCAGACCCTGCAAAAGCAAAAAAAGAAAATGATGTGTTAGGTTGAATCCACTCTGAGACATGAACAAACAAAAAAACTTACAGGAAACAAAATGCATGTTCCAAGCAATGTAGAGATCATTCCATGTACTGCTTTGAGGCTCAAGCAAAGCCATCATAGATTGGGTCCTTGCTGTCAACAGGGGATAGGAAGCTAGCAGCCTACCAACTTCCGAATTGTCCTTCAGTCCATTACTCTTTTCAAGCCAGACAGCCTCCAACAAATTCAAACATTGAAGGTCGTTGAGTTTCTCTAGCTGATTCTCAATTCCTGGTCCTTCAGGAGATCGTAAGCTCTGTACTAAAAGGTTTAATTGTGCAAGGATGGACCTGTTCTTGATCCAAAGGAAGAATGGCCACTTTCCATACATTGAGTCTTTCTCTGGGAGGTTCAGCATCTCTTGTAGCTCCACTGGAACTGACCGATCATTCTGCGTCTGAGCCTCCCACGCAGCATCATTCTGCAACTTATGTTGCATGCACTTCAGGTTATCCATCAAGAAGGTTGTCACCCATTGAAGCACAAAGATTTGATGCACAAGTTTAGAAAGGAAACACGTCCTATCATCAATTAAAATCCAGTCAGGATTTTCACTGAGAGTCTTGGCAAGTTGGCAGATGGTTGGGTATTTGTCCTCAAGATGCTGCAGGATTTGGGAGCACATTTCTTGCATTGCAGCTGTTGTCTTGGTGGCTTTGGACCAAGCTTCATCCATGCCAGAGACCCCAGAAAGATGAAGTTCCAAGAAATACTCATCCAACTTGCTGGGATCGCACTCTACAGCATGAACAGCTTCAACAGCTTGGCTGGGTATGGCATTTGTTTGGCTAAGGTCATTATCAGGAAGCTCAAGAGATCCAAATGGAAGTGTTATTGATCTTCTCCTGATTTCATGTTGAGTTCCTTCTGACAAATAGAACTCGCTGCTTGTAACCCCATTCATTGCAAAGCTGTGCTCAAGGAAAGAGCTCCTCTTGAAAGACGATACCTTTGCTTGGATAGGAGATAGCTTTGCCTGTCGTTGGAATCTTAGGAGAACATCAGACGCCTTCCAATCACCAGCAAAAGTGGTCTGCCGGATCTCACTTCTCTTCAGCTTGCCAGAGGTGGTTTTTGGTGTTACACCCAACTTCAGAACAACAACATCTGAGACAAGAAGCCCATGCACCTGAGATACATGATTGGATATCTGAACAGCCAAATCTTCATTTGCTGACTTGTCAAAACCTTTTCGGCCCTCCACTGTGATACCGACACTGTCCTCCCCATGTTGGAAGGCAGTGGTCCTGCCTGGGCGGATGACATCACTAAAGAGATCATCAATAGAGAGCTCCACATCAGTTGGATAGTAGTTCTTTCCATTTATAATGATGACATCCTTGACCCTCCCAGTAACGTAGAGCTGTCCATCAACAACCTTGCCCAAGTCACCAGTATCAAGCCAGCTTCCATCATAGCCTGGTAAGACTTTTGCGAAGGTGAAAGGTAAGTAAGCTCAGGTTGTCCATAGTAACCAGCAGCACACGGGGCGATGGGCCCAGATACTCCAACCTGTCCATCCTCAACTCTTTGCCATCCTGGACAATTCGAGCTTGAGGGTTGGGGAGTCAACTTCTCCACAGCAACAAGCCCCTCAGAGTCAGGTATGCAGAGCCAGCAGTGAGGAACACGACAGATTAGCAAGTATAGATGTTGTATCATGCTCTGGTTTGATGGAGAGGTCTTTGCTGCTGCTTCCACAACATGATCTTGGGCAGGTTCCCCCAAACATGGCTCGCTTCACGCAACTCCAGTTGCAGTTCGATTGGCCTGCTCCAAACGTTTCAGGAGCAGGGCATAGGCAAAGTTTGGGGCACAGGTAAGGTTTGCCTGATAGTGCTCCACCATGTCAGTCCAAAGCAGTGGATTGACCACAAAATCCAGCGGTGATGCCATGACAAGTGAAGTTCCAGCAAAGAGGGTAGTCATGAAGCCGCCACAAGCCCCATTCTGTGGAGCAAAAGGAAATACAAAAGTGAGAGGATTGTGGCTTTTAAAAATTCAGTATTGGAACAACAAATTAGCTTACATGGTATTGTGGGACCCACAAGGCTGCCAGTGTAGAGCCAGCATTGGAAGCATTTACACCAGACATGGCAGAAATAGCAATGCAATTTTCTGCAAGATTTTTGTGACTGATCATGACTCTTTGGGGCGACCAGTATGCTGATGTACTGGATGAAGCAAATGTCTTCTGGTTCCGGCAAAGGTCTATATCTTTGGCTTGCTGGGGTTCCGTTTCTTGATTGTTAGCTTGTCGGTCCAACCAAGTGACACCAGTCTTGAGAGGACCCGCGCAGTCATCCGCAGACAAACGTGTTGTGTGTAGAGAACTTGGCTCCGGCATCCTCAGCAAATCTAGCGGAACTTTGGCATATCTGTTTTGAGCTGATTGGGGTTGGGCGGATAGATGGAACATGGAATAACTCCAATCTTCATGGCTCCAAACATGCCAGCCAAGAACTCAAGACCAAATGGATAGGCAATCATGACACGATCTCCCTTTTGGCATCCCAATTTGAGGAGACGAACTGCCACGGCATTGGATTGACCTTCCAGCTGTTTGAACGTCATCTTGTCTTGTTCCTCACACACGGTATCAACCCAAATAAAAACTACCCTGTCAGGGGTCTCCGTAGCACGATGGCTGAGGGCCTGGAGGATGGTGGAGAAGGATTTCATTTTGGCTTAATTGTTGAGTTCTAATTTTGTGCCATCTAACCTCTTGTTAGTGGAGAACGTTGTCAGTTTGGATGCTGCGTCAATCGTCGTGGACGATCGTTGAGTTCCAATTTTTGCATGTACTTTCTATTTTTGCTGTCACTCGATCATCGTTTCGTTGGCTGCTGAGTGGCCCTACTAGTGCGTCGACCAGATCGACTGACGACGCACGATCGATTGGCTGCGTTCGAATCGGATCTCAATATCTCAATCCACGATTGATCATTCCTGCATATCTGAAATTGCACCCAGGCACTCAAATTGCGTAAGTCCTCGTTGCACCCTCTAAGTGACATTTCAGCGTGCGCGTGAGATTTAAGTACATCGCACAAAACGGTTTAATTTGAGATCTGTTAAACAAAGAAATGGTTGTTTCGGGAGCGCCAGCACTGCTTTGCCACGATACCAGCAGTCATCCTTTTGGACTTGTGACTTCTAAAGTTCTAAAGTCTCAAGAGGTGAACGGATCTTTGGGAATTTGTTCCTAATTTTGTCTTGCTTCGAGCATGACAACAAAAAAAGAAGTGGAAGAGAGCATTGATAGCATAGCCAGCACGTAGTCACGTTGTCGCTGCGTTTCTCATTCTGCTTGGTCAAGGCTTCTACCAATACTGAGTATAGTCAGCCATGACAACGCCATCCGGCCAAGAAGAAGGAGGAGAAGACAGCAAGCCACAGGATGTCACCCACACAGAGACAAAGCTAGAAGAGGCGTTTCATCCCGATGAACCCGGCGGTTGTCCCGAGGAAATCTCAGAAGGTGCTACTGTGGTGGCCAAGGGCAACCATGTGGTCCCTGCCGGTGTTGCAGTGGAAGAACTCAAGAACTACGGTGGCCAAAAGGATTTGAAGAATCTCTGCCCGGATTCCGTCCGTGACTGGTTGACCAGGAAGGAGTTGTGGCATGTCTACGACAAGTTCGTCGACTCTGTCGTGGCGGATCGCAGTACCCGAGGACCGCTGGGCAAATGGAAGGATGCGCAGTTCATTTCCGTTCTGGATCAGTTTCGCGATGACTTTGCCGAGCAGGGCGTCAAAGTGGCCCTCTGTAAGCGACGATCTGGGAGTGGGACCTTTCGGTGGTTGGAATTTATTGATCGAACGGTGGCCGGCGATTATGTACCTCAATTTGATGTGGCCAATCTTTCCGGACAAGTCATCAATACCTGCTACACAAAACTTGAATTCCCCAATGGTGTGGCCGTGGAAGAACTCAAACAATGGCGTGGCCGTGAAAGGTTGAAAGAGAAAATTCCCATTCAAGTGGAGAAAATGTTGCAAGAACACAATCTGATGGAGGAATATCATCAGATGGTCAATCATTGCATTGAGGCGGGATGTGGAGCCAAGTTCAAGATGTGGAACATTGACAAACTCAAAGAAATTATGCTGATCTATCAACCCATGTTTGCCGAAAAGGGTGTGGATGTCTTTGTCAGTCACAAGCAGGAATATGTCTCTCATGGCCAATATGGTGGACACAACGAATATTTTCGCTGGATTGAATTTGGTAAGTCCGTACTGGTACATGTACGAGAAAAAGGACCTGTTATTCCAGCAAATCAACTCACTTAGTAGCCGTATTCTCGGCTACGTTTTGTTGTGTTCCCTCACCACTCAGTGGATCGCAAGAAACAACCCAACTATCATCCTCAGCGGGATGCAGAGTCCAAGAAGCAAGTTTGTGTCATCTCCTAATCACTAGGTACCCATCTTATGGATGGCAGTGACATTGCCATCCTGAATCGGGATGTGCGTTTTGGGGGTGATGGAGTTATCTTGTCCCCACGTATGCGGCTTGTGGAGTCCCAAAGTTTGATTGATGCGATGACACAGTTAGTTAGTTACACCAAATACCAAAATTACATGCTCAGCGGACGCCGGTAGATGCGGTAGTAGTAATGAGCGTAGGTAGTATGGTCATTTCATGGTCAAGATCATGATGATCAAACCGGTTGGAGCAAATACGTGCCAGGCAGCATGACAAAGAGCAAATCCTGCAATATCCTTGGCTGCTTTACGTGTCCATTCCAAGGCAAACGCCGCACTGGACAGGATTGCTCCAAAAAGATAGACCATAATTCCTGCCAAGTATTGGTCTAGAGCGTTCATGAGCAGCACTAGAAGACTGCTGCAAGTAAAGAGTATCCCACACAGAGCACATATTCGGTCGGTCGGATGCCACCAGGAGAGACGATCAATATATACCGTGTCGGAACAGTGCGTGACGAATCCCTGAAGGATAAAGTAAATTCCAAAGGGTGTCCAGGGGTAGTAGAACGACGATACAGCCCGTCGGAGGGTATCGTCGTGTACAAGGAGGACAATTCCCGCGGCAGAATAGAAAAAGGAAGATGCCACATACAGGATCAGTATCCAGGGATGAACTGCACCGTCTTTGGCTTGCTGTTTCCACGAAGGATCCACATTCTTTTGCCGTCGGAAAATTGTCAGCTGCCGCAGTAGCATCTCCGTGGGAGACATTTCCTCATAGTTGTGATCAAAACCAGCATCCTTCTGGTTATCAATACAATTATTGGTATCAGCACGCATGTTCCCTCTTTCTTCTCATAAGGATCTGTTCGATGTCGCTTTTGCCGGGATGGATCTTTCACGTCTATGGCTGTTGTCACGGATCATGAGATTGCCGAATCGGGATTGGAGGCATCGATTAAGAAACTAACATCCGTCATAGTATAGTGGCTAGTATCCCCGCCTGTCACGCGGGAGACCAGGGTTCGATTCCCTGTGACGGAGGCAATTTCTTTTTCTAGCTGGCTAGTTCGGACTACTATCTAGCTAGTATCCATACCGCGGTACCGGTCGGTTGCCTTCGACTCGCGACTCGACTGTCACTCATAGAGTAGGCTCCCACTTTGCCGATGATGTTGTTTCCGCTCACTCCTCTTTCATGCATGTTACAACTGCAACATGACAGAGCCCTCTTGTTTGGATACTAGTACGGGTAGGCTGTTACAGCCATTTTCTTCCATTCCACGAATCGAGTCCATGACAACTTCTATCGGTGGACGGATCCAGGACCAATCGGTGGACGGCACGGAGCGTGCTTCTGTATTCCTCACCAATGACACACGATGACGACCATAACGCCACAACCGTTGTCATGCTGTCTGGCATGTATTTGCTGCGACGGGGTTGATCTACTGGTATTACTGTACATATTCATCTACCGGCCGGCCACGTCTACTGAGCCAGTTTGCTTATTTTGGTACCAACCCGTGGACCAACAGCTAGCGTTTCTGGCATGAGGTCTACGGTAATTATTATGTTTTTGCCACTCCAAGGCCGTGTAGGGAGAAGTGCACTTGTATGTATTTCCTCCGAAACCACATCCGGTGTCAGGCAGCAGTGGATGGTGATGTAACAGTGATCCAGAAGATGGGTACTCAGGAGATGACACACACTTTGATTCAAACATTGGACTCTGCAGCACGCTGAGGGCGATAGTTGGGTTGTTTCTTGCGATCCACTGTTGAGTAGGGAGGAAATACCAAGAGGGAGCAGCAGGGAGCAGGTCAGAGGATACGAGTACTGTGAGTCGATGCTCGAATGGCAGGAGTTCCCCCTCCTGTGAAAGTATCAACTTACCAAATTCAATCCACCGATAGTAATAGGTCTGCCCACCAAATAAGTCAAAGACATATTCATCCTTGTGACTGACAAAGATATCCACACCCTTTTTGGCAAACATGGGTTGATGTGTTGCCATAATCTCTCTGAGTTTGTCAACATTCCACCGTAAGTTGACACTTCCCTCCTTGATGCAATGATCCACCAACTGATGATATTCCTCCATCAGATTGTGGTCTTGCAACATTTTCTCCACATGAACGGGAATTTTCTCTTTTAACTGTTTGCGCCCAAAGATTTGTTTGAGTTCCTCCACGGCCACGCCATTAGGGAATTTGAGCCGATATTTGACGGTCGTGATGACTTGTCCGGAACGATTGGCCACATCAAATTGAGGGACATAATCACTGGCCACCATTCGATCAATGAACTCCAACCAACGAAAGGTCCCACTTCCAGAGCATCGTTTACAGAGGGCCACCTTGACACCCTGCTTGGCAAAGTCATCCCGAAATAGATCGATCACAGAAATGAATTGAGCATCCTTCCACTTGCCCAGTGGTCCTCGGGTACTGCGATCTGCCACGACAGAGTCGACGAACTTGGCGTAGACATGCAACAAATTCTTGTGGGTCAACATGTCAAGGACGGAATCGGGACAGAGATTCTTCAAATCCTTTTCACCAGCGTAGTTCTTGAGTTCTTCCACCGCGACTCCAGCAGGGACCACATGACGACCCATGGCCACCACCATCGCACCTTCCTCAGGAATAATGCCATCTTCATCAGGGTAATTCTCCTCTTGTAGCTTTGTCTCTGTGCAGGTGTCATCCTGTGGCTTGCTGTCTTCTTTCTGGTCGGATGGAGTTGTCATGGCTGAAAGGTAGAGCCTTATAAGATCTAGCTACCAGGTACCGGTAGCTGCTAGTAGTTGGTGCTCAACTTTATCTATTTCTTGATTGTGAGCTTATCTGAGCTTATCTACTTCTTAATCTTGCCACCCTCATTGGTTTTGTGTTACATACCCTCTCCGAGTAGCCTCTTTGTCTTGTGCCAAGCCTGCACCGGTGCGTTTATTCCTGCGATGGCCGAACGCCGGAGTAAAAGTGAGCTAAAGGTTATGATAGTCACGGTTAGTCACGGTTTGCAACTGGATCCTTCCCAAGATTCCAAATACCACAACTTTCTCATTGGCTGGGGGTTGTCCAAAAAGGATCCTGAATTAAGCTTAAGATGGAGCCTACAGAGGCGGTTTTCCAGCTCTCTCTCCTCCTACATGTACGACACAGATTTGGAATCGAATCGAAACTGATTGATTCACCATCCAATCGCACCGCTTTGCCCCTTGCACTCGCCATCAGGCATCCATTCCCACTCACACTGTAGCACTCTAACCACATACTAATCTCAACTATTGTTTTTCATTTCAGCTTTCGTTGCTTGCAGCTATAGCACCACGTGAGGAGGCCCAACCATCGACGACAAGGTAACATGCTCACCTACTTGCTTTCTTAGAACATTAGTACGAGCAAGGACGGACGTTTGTGGAGCTGACCGTTGGTTCTTCCCTCCCGATACTGCGGGTCGAAAAATCGTGTGTGAAAGTTCCGGGAGCCACACATATTTCTGATTCCTTTGACCCTTTACGAGTACCTCCAAGGCTCTTGGGGGTGACGTTACAAACAGAAGAATACTCGCGTTCAGGGTAACCACGGTCGGTTCTCACTCACTACCTCTTCTTGTAGTTGTAGTTGTTTGTATACCACAGAGTCGTGTTCTCGCTGTCTCGTTTTAACATTTTCGCTCCATGCTGGAGCTCCAAGATCATCAAAGCGCAAAGGAAAGGATAGTTACATTGCCTGAAGCAGGTCTTCGAGTCTCCAGACATCCGACACCTGGAGCCAAGTGCTCATGTCTCAAAAGGACTTGGCTCTCTTGGCTTGCTGTACTGTCGTACAGGTAGTTTGCTGTTTCTGCTTCCTCGCTTGATGCTGTCCCTTTGGGTTCTCGCGACTGGAGGCAGGACCTGACTCGTTGCACCTCATAGGGCATCTCGGTGGAGTTGGATCGCACGGTGTAGCGACTTCGGCACGGAATGATCGCCTCGGAAGTACAGGAGGTCGTTCACTGATATCATCATTGCCGGTGCCTTGGAACCATCGCAGGTTAGATGACATTAGGAGGTCGCTGTCCGCGTTTAGATGATTCTGCCGAGGCGAGGAACGAAACACAATGAATGCTGGGACGCTCTCCATCGTACTGTTGGGTGGAAATGAACAAAATTCTCGCGCGAAACTCTTCATTTATTTCGTTGCATCCAACTCTTAAATAAATAAGCACAACTCGTCAAGAAGGAGCGAGCTACTAAACAAAAATCGGCATCTCGACCACACGTGGACTTGGTGCTCCTTTCTGATAAAGGGATATGACATGCGAAGGGAGCGACAACAAGGACCTTTTCACTCGCAGTTTCGCTCTCGAGCTCTGGCGGTTCAGTACACTCCAGAGCTCCTCCACAGGGATCATCCTCGCCAGTCACAGTTAGGAGTTGCTCGGACAAGCAACCGATTTTAAGATTGTTGCTGTTTTAATCCATTGTGTCGCACCAGGCACTTGCGTACTGGCGCAGGTGTGTCTCCATCGCAAGAGTACTCAGTGTCGCTACGGTATGGGTTGATGATTCGCCGATTCAGAGATTGATCAACTATCTGGAGTGGGAGTACTGGGTTGCACTTCTGGTACTCTAGCTAGTAGTACTTTTTTTAAGTACGTAGAAAGCCAAGAGATTAACTCCCGCGTAAAATGGATCTTTCTTCCGGTCGCTGTTTTTGGCTTCCAGCAACCGATTTTGGCGCCAGCATGGTAATTAATAACCTTCATTACCTACCAATAATCAAGTTGTCCAATCTTCCAATCGGCAAAGCATGCAATGAGAATGGCCATTTCTTTACCTGTTGGTTTGGCTTGTGATGCCTTGATCGTCTGGTTTAAGCAGGCCTGCTAACTGCCAACTTCAAGTTCCTTCAAGGTACTGCTTTCACTTCTTCTCCTGTTCTCCCGCTCGATCGATCCACTATGAACTAGGGGTAGTAACTACACTTTCTCCCTTCATCTAATATCTGCTACTTCGTCACATTTCCAAGGACAAAGAGCGCATATCCAATCATCCGGATTCCTCGGGCGCATACGGCGCCCTGCTTGGCAAACTACTGCCTAGCAGCAGTTGTACGCCTGCCACCGGTACATGTGCCGAACCGGTATCACGAAGGATCTACTGATGTATTATCTACCACCAACGATTTGGATTCCTGGTTCCACGATAATATTCTCTTTCTATATTATGTCGCAAGTGATACAACGGGGCGGCGTAATAACCGTGGTGTGATTCCTTAGCGTGGACATGCCGATCTGCTAATCTAAGCCTGCTCGCGTTTGCACGAGACAGCTTAACAATAAACATGTACTGTATTCAAGTCCTGATTATGTTGGCGTGGTGGAATAACAGCAGCAGGCCAACTCGAAATGATTCAAGGACTCCTCCACGAAACCGGGCCCTTCCCAACCGAAGATACATGTACTACGTGTCGTGAACTGTCTCGCGTGTCAAATCAGCAATGACGAAGCTGAAAGCAACAGAAGCGTGCATCGGAGTCAAAGAGGACAATTTCCACGCCAATTACTTCATGTTGCGGGCATTCAAGTTCTCTTGTCATTGGATCGCCGCGATCGAACCAGAAACGATACACATGTTTTATGGACACCTCGCACGCCTTAGTACCAGGGCAGTACACAGTCTGCTAGATCTCGCATGTATCCGCCGTTGAGAGCGAACGAACACGTTGCTCCAAACTAGGGACACTCCAATCAAAGCCAAAACAGCAAAAAGTCAGGGCGAGCATCATAATCCTGGAACGACATCACCAGCGAACTCTGTCTTCTTTGATCGGAAAACAACAAAGGTTTCTACAAGCTACGACCAACCATGAACAAGCGTGTTCTGGAAACACCAGACAATGGGTATCCACGGCCAAAACAAGAAGAATTCGCCCCCGACGAAGATCTTCTGCATGTTTATGATACTGTCGACATCTCTGCAAAATCTCAGATGCTCTTGACGCAGCAAGCTATCACTGATGTTGCTACACTTCTCGGGAGGGAAGATGACTTGCAGCGCGCCGCCCTTCCAGGAGTCAACAGAGGTACCCAGAAGCAACTTCACAACTTCTGTCTCTGGTACAAAGATTACTCCATGAAATGGGACGCCGTCAACGTGAAGACGCACTTTGATGAAGATTCACTTCCTCGATTCGAACGTGACCGGCTGGAAGCCGCCACTTGTGATAGTTCGGGCGGGCTCCTCGCACTCGACATGGAGCGTATCTGCAACGTTCTTGACATTTCACAGAAGACGCGGGGGCAGCTAGCCAAACTTGAAATCAAAACGGCCAAGGCGCTCGTAGGAAAGAAGACCGAGCTCGAAGTTTTTTCTCTTCTGAATATCAAGCAAACTACACAAAAGCACCTACTCAAAGTGTGTTTGTTTCGAGAGGATTTCTACCGCACCAATGACTCGGACAAAGAGTGGCTGCATCACCTCAATGATGAAAGCTTCGCCAAGTTCGAGCAGGAAGACAGCAAGGAGAGAGAGTTCAGATTAGCTGTGGAAAACATCCATGAAGGTCCTGGCAACAGAGGCGTTGGGGATATATCGGACAAGGCGGTCCAGTTTGGTGCTACTATCACTGCAAGGTACTTGTCACATCATCTGGTGGAGCAATGCCGCAACAAATTCAACCCGGACGATGTTTCTAGGAAGTGCATAAAGGCTCTCTTGCATCCAGCCGGTGCACCGACCAAAGTTGTACATGTTGTTTCTGGCAAGACACAGTCAGGAAAGAGCACCGTCAAGGCCGTCTGCGCCGTTGCACACCGACAATTGCAGACTCTCCTCATTATCATAACGAAAGGAATTGCGGAGAGGGATGACCTCAAAATCAAGCTGAGCATGCTTCTGGGCGGTTGCCGTGAATCGCTGGAGTCAGGACGATTGGTTATTGCAGACACCGGGAGTCAGATCGAAAAAGCCACTGCTGCAGTGCTTGGAATCCGAAAGGACAATCCCCACGCAAGGTTTGGAATTATTGTTGATGAGTCCGACGCCATGTACAGAACCAAGGACGGTGTGCAGATCTTTGAAAAGCGCTTCGCTGCGTTGATGGCTCTTGGTCCCTCTTTTCGAATGGAGATTTCTGCCACAATCTATTCCACGGTGCAAGTCCTCAGCGAGCGTGGTGTACCGGTTGAAATGATGGAGGTTCTTACCACTGATGACTACAGCGGCATTGATCAGATGGAACACTTCACATACGGCAACAACAAGGCTGTATTCCTGAAGGAGACAGAGCTTTGTCCCAATGAAGGGTTCAAGTGGAAAAAACACGCATCGAAACTGAAAGACCTTGCCTTGGTCCCCAGTTTGTCATCCCTGATCCCACAGAACCTAGTCCCAAATTTGACCTCCCCGAATCTTGATCATGAGACACCATTGCTGTTTTCCGGCACCCAACATATCCATCAAAAATGTGATGCCTGCAAGACGGGGCGTGGTTGCCCAAAGCATAGTGATATCAGTGACAGTCGATTCAACAAAGAGAAGATCAAGTCCTACCTTCCCTACACCAGCAAGCCTATGGTGGACATGCTGAGGGAAGCGCTGCAGTCGACTCACAAGGGTATTTTGGTCCTCGTTGCCACAAATCCACGAGTCTACGCTGAGGGCAACGTCCTCACTCAAGCTGCTGGTACCCAGAATTTCTTTCGTGCAGAAGGAACAGACTTTGTTGCGGTGGCCGCAACAGGCCGAGGAGTGTACTTTAGATTCCCTGGTTGCCGCAAAGGCCGCTTCATCCGAAAAAAGCTGAAGACTGTTTCGGAGATCATCTCACAGATGGACAAGGCTGTTCGGTTGGATACCCCCATTATCATTTTTGGGTATTCCAGGATGTGCCGCTGTGTCTCGTTTCGGTCGTCCACAAGGGTGCCTACTCACATGATTCTGTCTCGAGGACCGGGATACAGTCTAGAAGACTACATCCAGGCAATTGGTCGAGCTACCTTCAATGGGCTCTCTGTCTTGGAACAAAACGGGCATAGTCACGTGACAGTGCTGACCAATGAGAATGACTTCCTGGCTGCAAAGAAGTATTATAGCTTTGTACAGGCAATCAATGTCTATCTCAGTCGCAACCCTGGAGTTCCCCTTCAAAAAGTGCTGAGATGCGCAACCAAGAAGCTCCCAGACGAGGCCAACTGCTTTAGGCACACGAACAGGAAGATTGGTCGCCGCAAGGATCTCAAGATGAAAAATCCCGGACGTGAAGCCTTCGAGGACCCTGTTGTGCTGAGCGATGGACAAAACAAAAGGGATCGCTATTGGACAAACCTTCGTGCACAACGATTGATGAGAATCTTTTACGAAGAGTCTGATGGCGAGGAAGGATTTGCACTTTCCACTTACCACTTGGTGGAAACATATAATGAAATTTACCCACCTGAGGATGGGGACACCGAATTGAAGAAGAAGGCTGTAGGGAAAATCATGGGCGACTTGGTGAGGGATGTCATTTTTGAGAAAGTGACCATCAAAAACGAAAAAGAAAAGAGGTGGTCACCAAAAAGCATTCTTATTCTTCCATCCTTACTCAACGAAAACCTTGGCGAGCTTGATGACCGTGATGATCTCTACTAGCTTGCTATAGAGCCACCCAAGCAAGCCACCAATATTCCAATTTACATTGAGGTTTCAAGGTGCCCAGCTGAACCTGTTATCATTACTTCAGTACTCACCTTTGTTTCCGTATTGAATCTGCTGGGCTGGACTCCAGTGTAGTAAGCAGTAATAAGCTATATAAATTGCAGCTTGCTCTTCGTAATGAATGTGCCCGGATGTAGTTGGTGGATACCATACCTCTGAGCTCTACACCAACCAGCTTTGCCATTTGCCAGTCTTGTTGCGCGCAGCTAAAGTCCTGTGGCTCTCGCTTTAGAAGCCGTTCAGCTTGTCTGTATCTTTGTTTGCTATGGTGGATCGTTTGCGTTTGGGATGGTGGATACATCCTCTAATGGTAGAGGATATAGCCAGCTAGCCACGGCAGCATGCATCCCTTTGCATCCTAGTATGAAGAAGTGGTCCAATCCCTAACTCTGTGGTTCACTCCGATGTTGCTTACCACCCAAGTGAGCACTGCCTTTCAAGTTGTTTGTGCAGCCACGATGTGCCTCTGTGGTTCTCGTGTTCCTGCTCCTACCACCCATGAGCTCCACTCATTGCTGAGATCGTGGCTCCCTGGATCTCTATTGTTAGTCTTTGTGTCCTCTTGCCCATTCCCTGGCGTCCTTTGGGATCCTTTCCTTCTCCCATCGGTTGGTCTGCTCGGTCTTGGTTCTCAGGCTCCCATGGCATTGCCCTCGATGGTGCACTCTCACCACATGGTAATTGATCTTAGTTCTATGGGATCCTGCAGTAAGATCTTCAATCTTCTCTTCTGCTATATGGGTAGAGTCAAAGTACCAAGTTATCTACAGCAGCTAAACGTTGCCTTCTAAATAGCCAGGACGATCCGGCAGCTAATTATGAATCACGACTGAATGGATGCACGTGGAATTAAGCGACCTTCAGTCGCTAAAATCTAGGAGATCGCCTATTTTTAGGCAATTGCCTAAACTGTTGCCTTATGCTTCGAGAAACAAACCGTTAAATCCTAGTAACGGTTGCCTAAATCCCGGCTGTTGCCTAAACGGTCGCCTATTTTTCAACGGTTGCCTAATCGTTTGACGACAGTTCTATTCAGTCGTGAAACTGACGTCACAAATCCCAATTGCCGGATCGTCCAGGTGTTTCCCTTATTACTATTCTTCTTCTATGCTTTGGCACCATACACTTTGACTCCCGTGACTTCATCCATACTACTGCTGGTGTATTGCAGGAGTAGTTCTGCTTGGGATACTTCCAGTTCCTGGACGAGTGCATCAATGTATGGCTGTAGATCGTCGAGTTCCCACTTGGCCCGTACTTGAAACAATGCAGCAAATCGTTTTTCGGGATCCCTTGACAATTGTTGTGCTGGCAAATACGTCCAGAGTGGAGTATTAGTCGTATCATCCTCCTCTACTGTGCAAACGGCCACACCCCTTAGCATTCCCAAATCGACATTGTACTGACTCCCCACTCCTGGCACTTGACTTTGCCATTTCAAGAGTAGTGTATCTTGTTTCCATGGTTTGGTTTGAGATTGAAAGAGTCGATGGGCAACACAAATGGCAATCTGCATGTGCGCGTGCATATTATTATGGACAATGACACAAGAGGAGTATGACAGTAAAAACAAGAGGAAATAGTGAGTCCTGCTCTTGTCAATATCACAAAATCAAACAAGTTTGCTCTGTTCGTCCACCATGACAATGCCTACCTGTTTGGGGTCAAAGGACACATGCGTGTCCGTGACGAGCAAAGAAGACTGCTTCTTTTGTTTGTTGTTGTGGATCACCAGTCGATTCATGGCATAGTGGAGGACATGGTTCAATTCCGGATAGGATTCCTCTTCTGGAATGCGTTCTGCCACACACGTGACAAACTCCTCCACACTGATAGATGTAGTGTCGTTCAAACAAAACTGCTCTTCTTCCGCCAACGTGGCCACAATGGCCGCCAAGGCATCTTGGAGTGCTTCTTCTGACAAGTGGCCATACTGGTACTCATCAATATTAGTATTGTGGTTTGGAAATGGAAATCCGTGCAACTGAGCGAGTACCTCTCGTACTTGTCCCGTGGAACACTGCAATTCGAGTGCCAGTGATTCCAGAGTGCGTCCCTTTGATTGTTTGTAGTAGGGATTGGATGTACGACTAGTATAGTATGGATCAAATACGTCATGTTCCAAGAGTGGAGTCAATTGTTTGGCTGTAATCGTCATGTCTCTCAATTCCAAAAAGGAAGAACCAGACGCCACGCCTGGAGTCAACAGGCGTGTCGCGACTGGAACCAATGCCAGTTTCTTACTGCTGTTGCTCATCTTGGCCTTTTTCAAAGCTGGTTCTTCCGCACTGGTTGTAGTACATGTAGTAGTATTGGTAGTGTCATTTTCCTTGCTGGCATCTGTACTACTAGTAGATTGCTGTTGTTGCTGTTGTGGCGCCACCAATACTAGTACATTGGAGGTTTCCAGTCGATTGACGAGAAAACTTTTGGTTTTGGATTCCACTACCAACGCCACTCTCTTTTCGTCATCACAAGAAGGCGCCACAAAGCGACTCCCGTTGGCCAAATCCGACAAGTCGATTCCCTTTGGTAGTTGCATCAGTACAAATCGTCCTCCTTTTTTCGTGACTTTCATCTTTTGGGTTTCCGTCGTCACGGCCAAATCAACTCTCGGCAGTGTCAGCAAGGCCGCCTTGTTGTCTTGTTTTGTTATGCTATTGATTAGGTCCATCGTTCCGTTCCGTTCCGTTCCGTTCAAGAAGTAGATAGCTAGTAATATGATTGACTGCTACAATAGCTACACTTCTTATAAAGCTCTTGCTTACTACGTGTGATGGAAATGATGGATCTGCCATGGTCGAAGCATTCCAACAGAGATTTGGCTGTCATTGGGATTTCTGTCGCCAGGCGAGTCGGAAGCACTCACGCATTCAAACCACATGTAGCTTTTGTCTGCGCCATCCATAATATATGCACTCGGTTACGAACGGTAGGTCCAAAAATCTTTCAACTCTGCTACCGGTACCGGTGCTGTAAGGCAAAAATCTACTAAATAGTACGTATCTTGATCGCATCCAACATTTCCTTTGCACCCTTTTTGGTTGGTTTGCCAAGCGCCAGTTTAACACGACCTACAAGTGATCCTTCTGGCTGTCTGTCTGCTGAGAAATTTACGTCACAACCAACAGGCTGGTTTTCGGGGTACCGTACCGTAGCTAATCCACTGCTGGCAAAAGGGGATCATCTCTCTGCTCACAGACATCCCGCCTGCCAGTAGTACGGTACTGTAGTAGAGACATGCCATGCATGACGACCATACCATAGTACTTTTGGGCGGCTTCTTGCGTTGTTCGATGGACTCACTTGCTTTCTTCTTGCTTTGCCCGACAACGACGGGGGATTCACGACCACAAGGGCGATTGCTTGCCAGCCATTGCCTGCCGGAGCGATGATTGCTTCCTTTGCATGCAACAAAATTTAATTTGATTGCGAGGTCTTTGATTGCTTGCAGACAATGCTTCGCTCGTGACACACGAGCGAACGAGCAATGTCGCCTGAAGAAGCAACAACTTGAAGCAAAGGGCCTACAGGCAGTCAGCCATCGCTCCAATCAAATCAAATCAACACTGAAACATTGCTTATCGTGACGGTACCGGTACTAGAGATGGATTGGTTGCTGCTTGTGGTCGAAAACTGGCTTCATTAGACTACTTACTTGTACGGTAGGTGTAGTCATGCCCTGCCTCTCAAGTGAGAAGGCCAACCAGTGGTGGTGTGCATGGATACCGGTAGCTACCCTACCGTATACTCAGTACTTACTTGGATACATACCGGTACATGAAACTGCAATGACAATAGTGACAAGGCGAATGTCTCTACCCGAGCTAAGAAGTCTTCAAAAGGCTACTACTAGACCTCGCTCTACTAGACCTCAAAAGATCGCTCTACCCACCCTTGATGAAAGGAAGAGCCTAATCTTCAGGGGTGATAGTGTTGGCAGCCTGCTCCTTTTACTTGTTGCCTGGCTGGAATCAAGAGGCCAAAGCTACAACCCCAACAATGTCGTAGGCCGACATACATGATCGGTGGACAGTGGTTTGATTGCTCTACTAGTACCGTAATTCGTACTCGTAATTGGATAAAGATACTAGACCCTGTCCTCTTCTTGCAGCCACGGTCCATCGCTTATTGGCTGGTTGCACGTAGTACTACAGTACTGCTCTGGACGCATCTGGTAAGTGGCTTCGTTTTTTCCCCCTTCGCCTTCGTCAACAGTCAACAGTCAGCAGAAGAACGACGCTACATGCATGTTTTTAGGTTTCAGCAGCCAGGCACTGTTTCTTCGCCACGGAAGCCTCGCTTCTAGCTGCTTTGGGCCTATCTCTAGGCACCGGGCACATTCTCCAGTCTCCAGTTGGAGTAAGTGGAGACAATACATGTACCCTCTAGTTCAATCTTGGCAAACCATGGCTGGCGTCCAATGGAAGGATCAATGGAATACTCTGGGCTGCAAATCTTGTTCCTCCAGTAGAGTCCAGAGTACCCAAAACACACATCAATTATTTGGATTAGACTATTGTTATTGTAGCTAGAGACGTGAATAGGAACGTAGGAACCAGTAGTCTAATCAAAGATGGCAGAAAGATTCAAAGTGAAGACTGTAGGAGTAGGCTCTTCTTCTGGCCAGGAGGGTGTTGTCCAGGCCAAACTCTCCATTACTGGACGCTTTGGATGTCTGCTTTCTTTGTGGTAGTAGTTCCCTCCAGTATCTGAGCTCGTCTTGGCTAAGCTTTCAAATTTTGCAGAGATTGCTACCATCCAGAGCTCATCCAGTACATGTACGAGTAGATCTACTGTATTCCGAGATCCGAGATCCGAGATGCCGCTTGAAAGGAAAAAGGAAAATAATAATAGACTTTGAATGATCCAATCACATTATAGGCCACAAGTACATCGTAGGCCTCCTCCCAGGTACCTGGTACCGTCCCGTCTACCGGAGAGGATGCGGGAGCAGTGTAGGAGCCAATGGGGCTGTTCTTCGCCAGTGCTTTGCAACTTGCAACTGTCACGAGGTCAATGAAATAAATGCTCAATCTGACCATCAAGGACCAACTAGCTAGCTAGACTATGCTACTTGTAATCGCACTCTGCTCAACTCAACGCAGACCACGAACTTGTCTATCATGGTGACAGTCTCTGTATGTCCTGATACACCACTCAGCCCAACCATCGGATACCTTATCAGCTGCCTTTGCGCCACCGCCTCAACCCACCCAGTCCAAATGGCCGGAGAACAAGCCTGATGGAAAGGATTGTTTATACACTTCCGAAGAGGAGTCGAGTCCACTTTGTAGCTACGGTAGCTAGCTAGCGATAGAAGCAAAGCCCGGTATACCAGACCGGACAAACCAAAAGCTACCAAACCACCATTCCGGGAGTAAGGAAATAAACATGTTTCAGCGTCTTCTATTCGTTGCGTTGGACAGCTCATGACAGTTTGAAATGATCTGCTTTGTGGAATGAATTGTCCAGTAATTGAATGAGTGCATGCCCTATCAGGGAAGTCCTTAACAATCATAAACCCCGTAGGCCGAACTACCCTTGCTCCGGACAAATGGATTAGCCTCTTTACAGTACGTCACAGTGCAACAGCTACCTGTCACCACTATGTGTTTCTGTTTCCAGGCACAGGCATCATCATGACAGCTTCATGACCAACACAGTACCGTTTGAAGAGTATGTGGCAGCGTTTTGCCAGCTAACTGGTCTTGTAATTAGGCCTATTTCTGTGCTTTCAAGCTTCTCCAGTCAGCAACAGGGAGAACCATGTTATAGAGAGCAATGAATCAAAGGCTCTTAAATTTTTGCAATTTCATTTTGGGAGTCGTCGAAAAGCTTTTGAGAAGGTGGTCACTTGCATACAGTACTAGTACTCGAGTATAATAATGGCACCGGTACCGGTATGGTTCACATCATTTCAACGAAAGAAATACGTGGTCCCTTCGTGACAGCATAGTTTGGAAAGGACGTGGCTTTCTCAAATGAACAGTTTATTCAAGTAATCTGGACAATTAAGACTTGATTTTATAATTTATAAGAGTACAAAGTGCCGGAAGCACGAAACAGGATCTTACATTAAGCCTTTTCACCTTTCCTGGTGACGAGCCACGGGACTCTCAGACAACATTAATGTCTAGACCGTGGAGCGCTTGGCAAGAAGTAGGGTACCGGATGGGAACGAGGGTTCATTAGAACTCCCGGCTCCAATGTGCCAGGAGTTGCCAGAAGGCGGCCAGGCACCACAGGGCTCTTCAGGCACTTGTGATCTCGATTGATCTGTCCTTCTGAAAAGGTTGTTGCTGGGCTGTTGTGTGTTATCATTTTATTTCTGCAAGCTAGATAAAAAACTCCAAAACCCTTTGCAACCAAACCTCTCTCTCTCTCTCTCTTATGTCTAGTAGCAGCAGTGAAGGCGAAGACCAGGAAGACCGCAAACCAAGCAAGAAAAGGGCATCTGCTTCAGACCAAGCTTACGCTGAGTACTTGGCCTCCACAGCAGCACAACCAACCATGGGCGCCCCACCCCCCGTTGCTGGCGTTGCACATGCTCCCAAAGCTGCTTCTTTGCCTGGTGCTGAGAATGCCAGCAGCAATGATGATGATGGCAGCACTGACCAAAAGCCAAAGGCCAAAAAACGAAAGACTTCAGCAGCAGCAGCCAGTAAAAAAGCAGGTAAGAAAAGACCGGCTCCCGCCGCAGCAGCAGCTGGTAGCTATGCCAGCAAGACGGCTTCCCGAGGTCGTGGAAGTTTCTATGTAGGTCGTCGTAAGGGCTTCATTGATGACTCGGAGATCCCTGAGAATGAGACTCCAACCGAGAAAAAACGCCGACTGAATCGAAACAACGAACGTAGAAAAAGAGCCAGACGCGTCTTTAAGATTGATTTCCTCACCGAGAAGAAGGACGTTCTTTCGGAGAAAAACGAGAAGATCAAGAAGGACAATCAGGCACTGCGGGATCACATTGCCCGTATCCGAGAAAACCTCCAAGCGGGTAACCTGAGCAATTTGAGGAATCTGACGGAAGGACCGGCACCATTTCTGCCCGCCGCCGAGGTGGCGGCTTTGGCCGCCAACTCGCCGTATCCCAGCACGGCTGTTATGGGCTCTCCTCCGAATGATGATGAGCCAAGCGCCGCAGGTTCAGAGCCTAGTCCATCCCCAGTCCGGCATTTGGTCCATCCGATTGCTGCTGTTGCTGCTGCTACCACAAGACCTGATGCAGCCTCTTTGGGTGCTGTTCTTCCACAAGCACGACATCCGCCTCAGGCGGCAGTCAGACAAGGTTCTCCACTGTCCGAACAACAAGTCGCGGTTTCCCATCACCATCAAAGTCCCCCTCAAGACCAGCAGCTGCTTCCAATGCCTCGACAGGCATTCGCGGGCTTGTCGTCGTCGTCGTCGTCTGCAGCGACCGGCAATGCCCTCCAGAACAGCGAGCTAATGGACTCCCTCCGACGACAGGCGCTGTTGTTGCGTGGAGGCATTGGTAATGCTTCCATTCTTGGTGGCACCGGTTACTCCAACCCACTGTCTGCTCTCGGGCTTGGTGGTGGAGGAGGACAGCTTTCCGAGAACCGTCGTACTGCCTTGCTGGCGACCTTACGACAAGATGCCGCTCTTCAGAGAATGGGTGGTGGATTGGCGGGTACAAATGCGGAGATTGCTCGATTGCGACTAGAACTGCTGCAGGCGCAGCAAGCTACGTCAATTCCCACTCTCTCGTCGTTGGCCAATAATAATAATACCAGCAGATTAGCAGCTGCTGGATTGGGAGGAGGATTGGGCGGTGGTAGTGGTGGTGGCGGTCAACTGTCAAGAGAGTCTTCGGATCCATCCTCTCCCGCGGCGTTGCGTCAACGCCTGTTGGATCTAGCCTCCAGGAATCCGGCCGGGCCTCTTCAGGCGGACGACCTCCTAGCCCAACTGAGAAGCCAGCAACAGCCAAATACAGCGCTGCAGCTTTCGGACTTGCTGTTGTCTGCTTCTGCAGGCCAAGCATCACTGGCGAACAGCCAGGCCTCTTTGGCAGGCCAGGCCTCTTTGACAGGCCAGAACCCGATAATAGGACTAGGTCAGCTGCAGCAGCAGCAACAGCATCAGCAGCAACAACAGGCCAACCCATTTCTGTTGGCTGCGTTGCAACGACAGAGTCTGCAACAGCTGTCTACTGCTCCAACTGCTTCTCAAGGGCCTCGGTCCTTACCTGCCACCAATGTGGGTGCGCTGCCATCTCAGAACTTGCCGCCAAATCGCTTGCAGACAGAGTTAAACAACCCCTTGGCAAACCCGTCCGCTACACTCCAGGCAGCTTCCAACCTTGCTGGTTTTGGGCGGCCATCGTCCTTGGCTGGCGGAGCAAGTTGGAGAGGCCGCAGTGCCCCGACTGCGCAGCCATCAACCGGGAGAGTGAGAGAGGAAGCGTCTTTGATGGCCCTCCTGGCTGCCACGGAGCAGCGAAGGGGAGATATCGACCCGTCGGAAGGAGACGTCAAAGATGATGATACTGCCCAACATCCTTCCAGTCCGGGCCAACATAGTGCTTGCCATCAGAGCTAAGGTGCGGCCCATTATCCGTCCGGCCGGATCGCTTTCTTCTTTCTCTTTCCATCTTGCCCTCCTGATCCGGTCCACCGGTTCCAAACAATAACCGCAGTTCCAACCCACTGAACTGCGCGAAGGCCGAGCGTTTCTGATACCAATCGCTGCATCTCGACCCCGAGTACCAGGGAATGCCTTTTCGAACCACGTTGGGATCGCATCCATCTACCCGAGCTTCACAAAAATGCCATGGGTGGCTCCCCTGGAGCTTGAGCAGGGAGCCAGGGCAAACCTACCAAGCCCCAAGTGAAGTATTCAGAACTCACCAACAGGGATACATCGACACTAGAACATCCACTCTATGTCTCATCCATTGAGCAAAGTGCACTGTGAATACAAGCGCAATTGCTACCCTCTGGTAACATAGAGAGAATAATATTACCACCACGAGAACTCCACGGAGCAAATACAGCAAACTTTCAATTGCAATTTCCCCATCCAAGAACAACTTCTGCCGGAGCCACGTCTTTGGAAACTCAAGGACCATAATTCATAATTTTCGCAGCATTTACATAACTCCTGACTTTTCTGAGTATTATTTTTGGAGTTTGTACGGAACATGAAAAGTTAAGACACTTAAATCTGTCTGAGAAGCAAAGGTCGGCATGAGGTATTATCGTGTGGTGGTACCAGTACCACTGGCTGGAGGCTGGAAGAGATGCGGGGATGGGAGGATAGATCTCTTTCTCTGGCTATCTATCCCAGTTCCACATTCCGGGTCCATCAGTATCTACATGTATGTAAAAACGCAAACAATGCAGCATTCGTGCTAGTAGTTGGTTGCAATAGACCTCAATTTTTCCTTTAGTTCTTTTAGTTCTGCACCTATGACGAAAAATGGGGAGTAATAGTTCAATCGCAGTGTCGCAAGAATATTGAATCAGCTTGCAAGCTCTGTCGTCCAGTTTTCATCATCAGTGTAATTGGGCACTTCGAGGGTTTCGTTTAGCATGTTCTCCAATGCAACCAAGCTTTTGGCAGTCCAAGCCAGCTCGGTGTCGCCTTCCTGCTTGACTTTTTCAAAGATGACATCTTTTTCCAGGTCTGTCAGGATTTTTTTCAGTTGGGCTTTCCCCACCGAGATGCCCTGACCTTCCTCAGTTGCATAAGTTTCTTCGTAGGCAGACACAAGTTCATCAGTGCAGCAGCAAAAACTTGCATCACCTATGGCCAACTCAAGGAATAATTTCATCACTCGCTGAGTCATCTTATCATTCCAGTAGCGGTCTTTCTTGTTCTGCAAGTCGTTCAAGCTGGAGGGTTCCTCGAAGGCTTCCCGTCCGGGAATTTTCATCTTGAGATCCTTGCGGCGACCAATCTTCCTGTTCGTGTGTCTAAAGCAATTGGCCTCATCTGGGAGCTTTTTGGTTGCGCTTCTCAGTGCTTCAACTAGACTGATACCAGAATTCTCTTTGATCTTCACATTGACTTCCTGAACAAAAGTGGAGTACTTCTTTGCAGCAAGAAAGTCATTCTCATTGGTCAGTATGGTGACATTGCTATGCCCGTTTTGCTTCAAGACGGACAGACCATTGAAGGTAGCTCGACCAAGTGCCTGAATGTAGTCTTCTAAACTGTATCCTGGACCTCGAGACAGAATCATGTGAGTAGGCACCCTTGTGGAAGACCGAAAAGAGACACAGCGGCACATTCGGGAATATCCAAAAATGATAATGGGGGTTTCCAACCCAACAACCTTGTCAATCTGTGTAATGATCTCTGAAACGGTCTTCAAGCTCCTGCGGATGAAGCGGGCTTTGGCACAGCCAGGGAATCTACAGTACACCCCTACACCGGTTGCAACAACAGCAACGAAGGGTTTGCCCTTCGAAGCAAAATGATTTTGAACACAGGCTGCTTGAACCACAACATTGCCCTCGGCATAAACTCGAGGGTTGGTGGCAACCAAACCGAGCAACCCCTTTTGGCAGGAGGGCTCTGGATCTTCAATCGTCTCAGTAGTATTCACATCCATGGGGACCGGTCCACCAGCATCACCACCCTTGTTTGCTTTCTCAGTAGACGCCACGTCCATTGGTGGTGCCAGGTCTGCTTCGCGTTCGGTCTCATTCTCGCCGTTGCCTCCTCCTGTTGCTTCCTGCGCCTCCACATCTGCTAGCGTTGTTTCTTCCAGCTTCCCCGCCAATGTGCCCGCATCTGTTGGTATCTTTTGGTCGTCATCAAAGCCTCTACTCTTGTCATCGTGTTGCATACCGGCATCATTCACCTTTGTGCAATGTACTCCTCCTGGTAATTCTTGCTTCTCCAAATCGACTGGCATATTGCTCACATGCTTGTGATTCTCCTTGCCTTCAGCTGTATGTTCGTCTGCAAGAGGAACTTGTGCTTGTAATCCTCCTGCCAAATCGGAGCCTTGCTTCACTCCTGGACTGGTGGCTCCACTCTTTTCCAGACTTTCGTCGGTTGCATCATTTACACCCATGACATCGCCAGGCGACTGCACAGAAGCAATGACTGCAACTGCGGCTGTTGATTTGGCATCACAATGGTTGCTCACATCGGTTTTGGTACAAGAGGCTCCACCTTCCTTCGACGTGTCCAGATTTGGGTCTTCCTCTCCCCCTTTATCGGACATGGGCAACATGTGGTCTAACATATCCATCATTCCTTGGCTCGTATACGGAATGACTGACTGTGCGCTCACTGCCCATGACCTCTTGCTGACAACATCAGAATGCATATCGCAACCACAAGCTCCCTTGCACGCGCTGCATTTGGGGTTGAGCTTGTGTTCATCCGAGAAGAGCAGCGGAGTCTTACTTTCGATTGGCTTCGGCACTTCAGAACTAATGTACCGGTATTTCACCCCGAGTTTTGGACCAAGGCTCTTGGGATTCAGAAAAGCATCGTTTCCGGCAGCCTTCGCATGTTTCATTTCCAGGATCCCACTGTAGTCCTCCGTAGTGAAAATCTCCATCATCTCAACTTGCTTCCCTTGCTCGTCAAGAGCTTGAAGCGCAGAATAGATTGTAGCAGAAATCTCCATACGAAAAGAAGGACCAAGATCCATCAATGCGACATAACGCTGTTCCATTATCTGAGCACAATCCTTGGTCCTGTACATAGCATCGCACTCGTCAACTATGATTCCAAATCTTGCATGGGGTAACTCCTTTCTAATTGACAGGACTGCTGATGTGGCCTTGGCAATTTGACCACCTGTATCTGCGACAACCAGCAATCCTGCATCCATAGTTTCACGGCATCCACCCAAGAGCTTATTCAGCTTAATTTTCAAATCGTCGCGCTCCGGGACGCCTTTTGTGATGATGATCAGAAGGCAAGACAGTTGTCTGTGGACAGCAGCACAGACAGCCTTTACAGTGCTCTTTCCAGATTGGGTCTTGCCTGACACAAGGTGGATGAGGTCATGAGGTGAGCCTCTGGGATGCATCAAAGCCCTGTGGCACTTGACAGCCACTTCAAAAGGGCTAAATTTGTTGCGGCATTGTTCGAGGAGGGGTTTGTTGAGGAACTTGGTGGTGATGGTGGCGGCGTAGTTGATCATTTCTTCCGATACATTGGAAATACCTCCATCACCACGACCTTCATGGATGCGATCCAAAGCCATTCTATAGTCTCTTTCCACGCTTGGTTCTTGTTCAAAGCTTGCAAGCGTCTCGTCATTGAAATGAGCCTGCCACGAAATGCCATCGTCATTCTTCCTGTAGAAGTCCTCATGCCAGAGGCATGCTTTCAAAAGCGCCTTTTGGGTAGTCTTCTTTACATTTGGGAGGGAAAACAGTTCCAAATCCGTCTTCTTGTCGAGCAGCGATTTCATGTCGGCGATTCCGAGTTGGGCCAGGTGTTGTCGCGTGCTTTTGGGCATATCAAGCTCTTCGCATACGAGCTCGAGGTCCTCTTCGAGAAGTCCATCGCTAGAGTTGGACGTATCGAGAGCAGCAAGTAGTTTGTCGTTCTCGAACCGAGCCAAGGAGTCTTCATCGAAATGAGGCTTCCAATCGGCGTCGCTGCCGTTCTTCTTGAAAAAGTCTTGGTACCACAGGCAAAAGTTGTGCAGCTGCTTCTGGGTGCCTTTGTTTATGCGTGGGAGCGCAGCCGTTCCTAGTTCAGATTCCTTGTCCAGGAGGGTCTCAAGGTTGACGACGTTCTGTTCGGTAAAGAGACGTTGGGACTTTGTAGACGTGTCGACGGTGTTGTAGACATACTCCAGATCGGAATCTGCTTGCTTCTTGGCTTCCTTCTGAACGTGCTCAGGTTCGGGATCCCCCTTCAGCGCCTCGTCAACTTGACGCTTGCTCATTTTGATGAATGAAGGGGACAAATTAGTGCAGGTCGAGAGATGAAACTAGTTTCGCCGATTCGATTCTCAAATGAGGAAACTGTGAGATCTGTGGCCCAAGTCTTCTTTCGGAGCCCATGTCATTTTGCTTTTGACTTTCGTCGGAGTACTCTCGTTGACTGCAAAGCAACGGACGAGTCTGTCTTCTCAATTCGATATTATAAGTGTATCAGATCAATCGTACACGACCAGTAGGAGAGTGAAGTGCAGTGTGATCCAGCCGTTGGAACAACTCTATTGGTTGAGTGGGGAAAGAATGTATTCACAGCAAGTCCCTTGTGGTTTCTGTGATTCCAGAAGGGTCAGACGGTTGCATCGCTTTTGATAGGACATTGGATCTTGATTTGCATGGTACGCGAGTACAGACAACTCCAACTGCTACACTGTTTGATTTGATACGGCGGGCCACGGTTCAGATAACGGGAATCATACGCGAGCAATTTCGAGGCATGGCAGGCACAGGAGAAGCCTTTGCTCAGTTCGATGATATTGACTGCTCCATCCGTATCGCGGGCGTGCATCCTTTGAATCTTCTTCAGGTTGGATATCAATGCACACATCGTCATAGTGTGACCGAACCGTTTGGTTTGCAGACAGCCGGAACTGGCGCTGTATAATAATGCATGGTATCGTTGTACCAATGTGGAGGGCACGAATTCAAGCCGTTGAGACGCGAGGAAGCAGTTGAGACACGAGGTTGGCTCCACCGAAGCTGTGGGTGAAGCTAGACGGTGACTGCGAACTTAAAAGGTTCCCAGCTTACTGCAGAGTGTGGTTCTAATGAATTGATCCACCAAGCGTGAGGCCTGGAGACGAGGCGAAAGCGGTAACATTGAGACTATGCACGGACGCACAGCCTGCAGAAACAAGGCGATCGATATCAGGACAAGCCAAGACCAAAAGGAAAGGAAATGACCATCGTTATGGCTTGGATTGGACTCCGAATGGAATACTTTTGGATGGGTGTTGCCAAAATCGAGGACTGGGAGGACCAAAACAGCGAAGATCCAATTTGCCGCGGGAGTTAGCTAATCTCTTTTGAAATGTTATTAAGGATAGGAATAACATGATGGCAAGTTCGAAGTTCGCTTCCTGCGATGCGGCGCAAGTCTCCTGAACCTGGCCGCGGCAACCAAAATGGCCATAGCTACGTTAGCTAGCTATTGATAAATGTGTTTGGAGCTTCACTATTGTTGAGACCACGAAGCAAGCAGCTGACAACGTTACAGATTTCAGAAGCGAAGCGGCTAGCGAAGCCCTCTGCCTCATGACGAGTCCTGTGTAAATCTGGCTGGTTTCTTTGTTGGGTTGAAAGCGTGCACAAAATCAAACAGCCGGATCAACTCATTCATCCTCTTCTCTACTCAGTACAATAATCACTTTGAATTCATTCATCTCTGGTCAGAAATCAACCATGACACGAGGACTCGTAGGACGTTGTTGGTGAGTACCGTAGCCAAGTCTTTGTTCGAACCAATCCTAGCACGTACCCGTCGCTAACGATCAGAAACCAAACATTGATTCCCTCTTTCATCCCCTTTTGCCCCCAAAGCGCTTACCCACAGGGCCAAGCTTCCTTATTGCCACAAATGCTTGCAATTGCCGCGCTTGTATGCTGCTTTTATGCCATCCCCTGGACACCTGGATCCTGGTTTCCTGAGGTCGGCTTTCTCTGCATGCATCTGGATGGCAGGGATTCGAATTACTCTTGCGGTCCACTCAGGTTGGTGGATCCAGGCTATTGGTCGGGGGATAAAGGAAAATACTGTAAGTTGGGAGCGAGATAAGGTTTGAGAAGTATACATACATACATGTTCTCTGATCCACCTAAATCCCCCCGATTGAACACGGCTCTTCGTCATGGATCCTCTCAGGGCCGGTGCAGCTCGGTGCTTTGTTCGCAATCATTTCTGCTATCCTGGGAAGCATTGCCACGTTGTATCTGTTTGGAGCCATTTGCTTCCACCTCAGCAAGAAAACTGTGTTAAACATCAGCAAGACCTTTCTTGCCTGTGCCCTGTTCTCAGTTTTGACATTTGTGGCCGCAGCGTTAGATATTTGTGATATTCTGGGGTACAGCAGCAGCGGATCTAGCAGCAGCAGCAGTGGCAGCTACTATGATTCTGGCAGCTCCAGTTATTACGGAGGCAGCTCCAGCTCCAGCAGATCCCAGTGCAAAAAGGTTGTGCGTTTGGACGGGGGGGGCGTTGCTGAAATCTTCGCCGTTGTGTTCTTCTTGGCGGCTGCAGCCGCATCATTTCAGTTTGCGAATGTTGCGGAAGAAACCAGCGAGGCAGCGGAGGACGAGGCGACAGAGACAGAAGTGCTGCCCCTTCACCACAAACCGGCAGCACGTCAAGAAGCCCCAGAGTCTTCTTCGCCAAGGAGGGACACCAGACGCCCTCCCGAAGATGACTTACTAAGAGCGTAAAAACACGTTGTTCTTGGCTTGTCCCGGCATGTGCGTGTCCACGTCGAAGCTTTAGCTATTGGAAAGTGGTCAAGCAACATACTGAACTTCCATACTTAAAACACAATGCTGGTTACGTATAGAGCTCCATACCGGCATACCGGTACCACTCCAATGCACACACAAAAGTCGTCCCTTTCGATGCGGCTAGTTGGCCACCACCCTAGCTCCCAGGTAGTCACATCTGTGCTCTGTGAGCCAGTCGCTGATGTACATGTAAGTGCTTTGGCTTGCTTCAGGGCTTCAGGGTTTACCAATACTAGCTAGTGCCAGCCCTTCAGCCCCGCGCAAGCTCCTCTGCAACTTACGAGGCTTTAGACTTTAGACTCATTGGATCATGCTACCGTAGAAGCGGGCCAAAGTGACAGTCTATGACAGCATAGAATTATGGTTACGAGAGGACGGTCTTTCAGGCCAACAAGGACAATTAAGTTGACACTACCAGTACAATTTCAGCGTCATCCCAAAGACGCCAAAAGCATGGGGAAGGATTTTGATTACTTATTTGCTTAAAGGCGTGCACGAGCCACTGAGCTGATCGGATCAACCGGAATTAAAGCAAGCTGCATGATGGTCGTCCAATGCAGCATGAGAGATGAGACGATACCTGACGAGCTCTTCCAGTTTACCAATTGCCAACTTGCCAACCCCATGCAAAGTTTCTCCGGAGTAAGCTGCACGCACCACAGTGTACTGTACCGTACACAGCGTACCGTACCAATCCGAAGGGGAAATAAGAAATAATACAACGCAAGATGCAGAAGCAGCGTCGTCCCTGCCCGTGTACAAATAATACTGTTGTTTCTCAATTGATTTACTAGACCTAGTCTATTAATAGTCTAGTAACGCTTTCCCGAGCTGTTCTCCAATGGTGAAGACTTTCAAGCTGATGCCTCTAGAGGACTTAAATTACCAACCTCTTTCATAAGGCTTTTTCAAATTTATTGTCCTTGGTTAGTCTTGGAATTCCGATCTTTCTCAAAAGCGGAAGCAGTTGGTTAAATCCCTCTTTCACCAAATCTTGTGAAATTGAGCATGTCTGAAAATCCGAGAGTTGTCTGGATCTAAGGGGTGCATGTACAATGACCTACACGCAGTGCCGTTTTTGCTTTGTCGATTCGATTGATTCATTCGATTCGATTCTTCAGCCGCTTGGGTCATGCTCATTTTTTTGCAACCCACCACCAAAAAGCTGAAAAACAAACGATGACGATACCAACATTCATTGTGATACCATCGCCAACAAGGGTTGGACATCAGGCGCAAGACGATTCAAGATGGGGACAGGAATTGAAGGAAAGATATGATTATCAACCAGGCATACCGAGAAGAAGTCAAGACCAAACGTTCCTTTCATCACAAGGCAAGCTTCCATCAAGTAGATTCCAAAAGAACATACCCCCCAAGTATCCCTGTCGCAGCCTCAGCCCCAAGAGGCACGGGCTTCAACATGACCGCTCATCTATTAGGTCAAAAAGCATGAAGATTTGATCCGCATCTCAACCCAAAGCGGCAAAGTTACGGGTACCACCGAGGGTACGTTATCGGTACCAGTAGTGCATTCTGGGCTGGCAACGCACAAGATCTACCCAATACTGTTTGCGGTCCGAACGTATGCCAGACTTAAGATGTCTGAAATAAAGTGCGTCTGATCAATGTCAAAGACCGTTGGCGGTGGAGATGGTTTGAAAGCTGCTGGGATATGACGGGTGGGGAGGGAGTCTAACTCCATACCGTACAGTAGATGCAATCAAGATGCTGCGCCGCGAACTCATACAACTTGCCGTTCAGCACGCCCCAGCCCATCAGTTGTTTCCTGCCCTGCAAGTCAATGCCACATGCACCGGTATAATAACAAACATAAACAGTACCGTATCATGCAACAATCATTGCGTCTTATCCAGATAGCTCTGTTGTTGGAGGGAACATGCCTTTCAAACAAGAATCTTTGCGCCGTAAGGAAGTCATTATTATAAGACTGCATTATTACGTCCGTCTTCTTGCTGACCAAAACGACCTACCGGTAGCTGCATCCATGTCCAGGTACCATAGCGGAATGATGGGTCTAGAAGAGCAAACGTCTAGCTAGCAGGAGCACAACGAATGATTCGATTCAATCCATTTGATTGATCAATCCTCATTCCAGAGGTTCTCAAACTGAACACATTTGGTCTCCACCATGCCTTTTCCTGCTCCCACGGTGGACTTCTTCTTCAGCGCCACAATCAAATTGTGCGCGAGCTGGCTGCTGATCTATCTTCCATGGCTTTCATGCCCTCTGCTGTCCGCGACGAACCCCGTATCACTCTTGGTCGCCCAGCCATGGCTCCGATTGACTCTGCTGATTCTTCCCATGCTCCTACTCCCTCTGATCCCATTGTCCAAGATCGGGGTGACCTCCTAGTTCGCGGGTTCTGGCATCGAGGTACCGATTGTATTTTCGATGTCTCCCTCGTGGATGTTGAGTCTCCTGGTCGTCGTGACCGTGGTGTCATTGCTGAGAAGGCCCTTTCTCAGCGGGAGAGGCAGAAGAAGACAAAGTACCAGGCTCAGTGCACTGCACAACGCCGCCACTTCACCCCCTTTGTTGTTTCTGCTGGTGGCCTCTTTGCTGCCGAAGCTACTGCTGTTCTCCAACGGCTCTCCCAGCTTTTGGCTCACAAGTGGTCCAAGCCCTACTCTGTGATTCGCTCTTTCATCTCGGCCAGGTTGAGCATAGCTCTTGCCCATGCCACGACAATGTGTTTGAGAGGCTCCCGTGTCTCAGCTCTCAAGGTTTACAAGCGTTGGGATGACTGTGGTGCCCTCGATCTTTTCCGCTAGTCTTGCTCCTTTGCTCCTCCCAGCACTCCTGCCTTCACCCCTTTCCTTGGTTTCCATGTTGCCCTGCTTGCGCACTTGATTGCCTGCCTTGCGTTCCTGCGTCGTGCCCTCCCCTCGAGCTCTGTCTCCATCCTCATCTTAGCTCTCTCTCATCCATAGTAAACTGAACACATCTGTGGGGAACGATGGATTGAATCCACTGGGTCTGATTTGGATTTGATTCGATTCGATTCGATTCGATTCATCGAATACAACCGGTACGACTGTACCGGTACCTTTATACGCACACAGTATCGGTACCTTTGAGGAAGATCTGAAAACCCTTTTAGACCTGGCCCCTTTCTTAGAGATAGCATGCTGATCACGTGGAACTTGCTAATTGTGAATTCCTAATTCATAAGAGATTCCCCCGCGAGGGTTCCAGGGTCCTTTGCAATTTCATTCCTGGTGCTGCACTTTCATTTTTGACGTCAGCCCTCTATCAATCAGAGAGTGTCAGAGAGACGTGTTTCTGTGTTGGGGCGACCATCGAGTAAAGCGGATGCGAACTGAAAGAAGCTTGAACGAAGGCCTAAGAACCCTTTTCCACCCTCATTTTTTGCCGATTCTCGCTCATTCCCCGATTCCCGGAACGCTTTGTCTTTGCTGATTGGCTTCAGGTCTGACAGCGCATTGGTTGGAGTGTCGTTGAAATCTTGGAAATCAAGAATCAGCACGGTGGGTCGATGGATGCTGAGGGATCTGGGATCAATCCATGATTGCTACGTGTCATGGCTAGCCCGCTGCAATCAATGCTAGTGGAGAAAGGATTCGAAAACGAGAAGCTCCTCAGCATTGTCTTGTTGACAACTTGCCACTCACTGCAGTGATAGATTCATTGAGGGCATCTATAGAGATCTCCAACGGATTGCACTTTCGTTCTTGGTTGACATGGGTTAATGGGTTGTCGTTGACGGGATCTCCGCCATCGGAGTAGTATGAAGTCTATCGCCATTGATGCCCTGGATGGTGTGCAGAGATGAATGTTTCCTTTGTCTCACAATCCAGTTCATCAGCAACTTAAAAACGCAACAAAAACCCCAGTTTCTACGGATACCAACCAGCAATCAAGCGACCATGTTCTTCTCTTTCGCCCCTCGCCGCTTTGCAACCATGGCCGTCAGCCGAGGCTTTCCCGTCACCACCGCGACGAAGGTCCCCTGTGTTGCATTCAGCACTCAGACTCATGCACAAGTGGAGGCTCTCGAGGAATCTCTCAAGAAGATGCAGTGGTCGGATGTCAAGGACAATGTCAAGGTGATCCGTCAGCTCATGAACGAAGTCAAGACGAACCATGCCCTCAACAAGCCTGGACCTGACTTTGAAGGATATGTCGCTGATTCCATGGCAGACATCCAGAAGATGATTGGTGGTTCGGCGGCGCCCAGTAAGGACGAGATTGCGGCCCGTGTCTTTGGTCTCAAGGGGGAGGTCAAGGGCAAGCTCTACTATGCGTAAGCAAGTTGCAATGCTGTCCACCCGCCCTCCACAGTATCGGAGACAGAATAGCAACAATGCCAGCCGATATACCGTATGCAACAAGAACAATATTTGGATAAACGAACTTTATAAATAGGATTTGATGTGAGTTGATGGCGGTTACGTAGTCGTTGTGCGGAGCAGGGAGCTGGTACCGGTGAATGTACATGTAATGCCAAAGTTTTTGGTGGTGTAGCTGTGGTGTATTCCTCGACGAAGCCAGCAGGGCAAGAGACATTATCGTACTGGTAGCGGTACCGTTGGCCGTGGGCTCGAAAGAGCTGCGGCAGGGAGAGGAGCAAGGAGACTTCTGTGGAACCCACGAAAATCAAGCGGGACGGTATCGGCCTGCGCTCTGCGCGGGAGTTGCAATGGGTGATTGAAATATCCAAGAACCAGCGGATTTATTGGCCAGATTTCTTCAGGGACAACGGATTTATGAGTCACTTCAAACTGCTTGAAGCCCCTAAATGCGGCCTCAGCCCCGACTCGGTGGGAGATGCCCTCCAACTGTTTGTGTCGGATGCAGCAACAAACATCCTTGCAATGCTCGCGTTGGGTGCGGCTGGTATCTGGCTAGTCTAGTCTAGCGGCGAGCTAGTGAAAGGGATTTCTTCATCCTTTTACCAGTGGAAGAGTGACACAAGCTAGCTTGCTTGTACTACATGCGGAGTGTTAAGCCAAGGTACCTTGTACGTCAAAAGAGAAGCTGTAATGTAAAACAAACACGATGGTTCTCCAGTTCCTCATCAATCCTGCTTTTCCCCTCTTTTCTGAGGACGTTGTTGAGGGAGCTCGAGGAACACTATAATATCCTCGTGCACACCCACTACATGTGTACAGTATTCGGCTAGAGTACGTACCCTACACTCAATTCCTCTCTGATGGATAGACGACTTGGACTAACTAGTAGGTGGGGTGACAAGGAGTCTCGCAACATCACTTTCTTCCTTGGCTGAAGAAGCTCGTTTTGAGGGGAATCTGTTCACTAGCTATTCCCAAACTTATTGATCCTGCTTCTTGGCTGGCCTAACTGTGCCGTTGGCTCTTGCTTGGACCCGATTTAAAGGCCCCTGCGCCCATCGGACCCACCGTTCCAGCTGTTCAACTCGCTGATGACAAGCCATCACAAAACTATTAGTATTGTTTGGTTCACAAAATAGTTTCTCTGAATGATTCAATTCATCTGCCTTTCCAACATGCCTGATAGTGGTATCCCAGACTTTATTGTTATCCCCAGTTTGCCACTCATGGACGACAGTACCTCGAGGCACCGAGCGAGAGACATGACTTCTGGGGCCAATGCTCATACCGCAAGGGAACAAACCAGCACAATGGAGATGTCGGCTTCTTCCAGCACGAGATGGTCAGATCGTGTGGACCAGAATTCCAGTAGCAACATTGATCGAAGCCCAGCTCCACCACGACGATGCCTAATATGGGATGAATCCCTGTGTGATCCGTCTCCACCAAAGAAGCCACAGCGTGACTCTCCAGAAGCAAAAGCGATGCAGGACTGCATTGAACCACCAATGCTACAACAAAGAAGTGTTGGCCGTTCGTCCAATGCCCCATGAGCTTACGTCTTGGAAAGGAGAAACGCTTGCCAGTGGGAGTAGGCACAGAGCACTGATCTTGAAGCAAAGGCAGCTCTTGTGAGACTCTGATAGCCCCTCGATGAACATGCTGAGGAACCAAAAGCATGGAACGAGAGATTGGTCCATCAAATTGTCTGGCGTCCTACAAATGCAAGGTTTCCGGTAGACTCTAATAACCGCAATAAAAATAGGCTCAGGGATATCATGAACACAACTTTGCATGTAGGCTAGTGCATATTTTTACGCAAACTTGATTTGATTGAGATTCATTCATCTTTGCTCCATTTGCTCATCGTCTTCACACTTCTCAACATCTCAAATCTTTATTTAGCCAACTCAAGCTTCTCCGCCATCCAGCGTTTCGTCCATTCTCCTGAATTGGTCAACCGTATGTGGACATGTAGAGGTCTGTATGTAATGACGGCTAAACTGGCTTCTGCTTGGAAAGGGTGGCTGTTCCGACTCAGAGCTTTTGCTTTGAAGAATCTTGGAACTTGATGTCTGAGGAGCTTTAGAATGCTCACAAAAGAAATAAAGGAGCCAGAAAGAGGGCTCCTCTTCTATGACTAAGGGGCCACGGGGCACCACAAAGGAGTTGCAGTATGAATGGTGTTCTTATCGTCTTCTTTCCCTTTTCAATTCGACATCATCGCTAGTACACTAGAGCGTACTATCAGTAGAATCGACCATTGGGACAGATGGAAGGAGGAACAATTGATTATTGAGATGTCTTAGTATTTCGGAAAGTGTGATGATCAAATTGTGCTACTACGCTACTACTACTAATCAACCCCGTGTGGGTCTGTCTGGTGATGTGGCGCCTAGAACTATCATTTTGAGTATTTAGCTAATTTTGTAGCATTTTGGCATTTCAGCTGAATCGAGCATTACCCGTATCTTAGTAGCTGGAGAAATTTAATGCAGAAAGCCAGCCAAAAAGGCAAGTGTCCTATTTAATGCATAAAAGTCCTCAGATATAGATACATTTTATCAAAATGTGACATAGGCAAAACTTGGATATTTACTTAGGCAAGCATGTCCATTACTTAGATTTATATAATATACAGGATGATATAATAGTAGGAGCATGCCATTGGAAAACAGTTACTGGTCAAACTAAGGCTTTTTATAGACTTATTGCAAGTTGCCTTCAAGTAGATGGTGGCAAGACGTACTTAAGATGAACTATGACTGCATAGAAATGTGGATTTAAGGTACATTGAAGTAATAGGGTTAAGGTTATTGAATAGCATGCCCAATGGGCACCAGATTCGAAAGATAACGTATTTGGCTTGGTAGTCTGGTTTGGCAGTTTATTACTTTCTTTTCCATCTTTTGTTTGGTTTTCGTTTTCGTTTTCGTTTCGTTTTCGTTTTCGTTTGTGGTGTGCTTTGACTTGCCTCTAACAACCCATGCTCACAAAAATGTTTACGACTGTACACAATCACATTCACCCGTCCTGAAACTCATGCCCACTGGGCATAGGATTCAAAAATGGTAACATTCCTAAGGTCCTGACTGGAATTGTTACCACCCAGACAACACTACTGTATCCATATCTTGTGCAAACACTCAAACCAAATTCAAAGACTCAAACAAAAAACTAAGAAATGACGGAGTCACACATATGCTAGGCAGCGCAGCAGCAAAAGAATCTTACCCTAAAAAAATCTGTTCACCACATTCTCCACCACCTTAATGTTTTATGTACTTTCACACCGTTAGCTTCAACACAAACAGAACTAGACGTTATACTTCAGACCCACACGGGGGTAAGCTATGAAATTCTTGGATCTCCTTCAAGCTTACTCACTCGGGTCCGAGTGTGACTTCCCCTGGTAGTAGTACCAGTACTCGTGTGGTGGACTACTACTAGCTAGAGGGCATATTGGGGCAGTGTACAGAATGCCCCAAATTTCATGGATGTCGTGGAAGACCAGCCTCAGATTCTCTATGCCTCGTAGCTGCTTCGTCCAATCTCTGGGAGCATAGGGCAGAGGGAAGCAGCCTGGTGCCTCGAGCACTTCTGCCCAACTCCAAGCACTCTACGACCATTTCCCTGGCCTTTCTTCCATAGCTTGCTAGATCTAGTACACGTGTGGTCATATTTTTTGAGCGTGTCCTTGCAATGAGCATGGCACTCGTCCTCTGAAGTCCATTCCTTCCCATAGTCCACTCTACCCACTTCGTAACCCACTTTCAAAGTCTCCAGCTCCCGAGGTTGGGCGACGACAGATACATTTCTTGGCAACATCTCCCTCAGTTTTTGCTCCAGGAACTTCAAGGTTTGCATCGAAAACAGTCTCATGTCAAACATGACGGATACCGTCCCCGCTTTTATCTGGATTCCCACTACGGCACTGCCAAGGATGGGCAATGGAGGAAGAAGCACGTATCAAGAAGAAGGAGCAAGACCCGTGTCTTCCCTTTCGTCGTCGCCGTCTCTGTCACGTAGATGGGCAGAAGGCAATCGCTCCTGCGACAACAGTATTCAGCTACCCGCGCAACCCCGAAGGTCCTTTCCAGAAGATGAATTGTGTGATCCATCCCCACCCAAAAAGCCACAGAGGCGTGCCAAAACTAAGAAAACGGAGCGATTCACTACTAGATCTACCCGACTGCCGAGGTTTCCCCGGAGAAGCATTAGCCTCGAAAAGGGTGTGGACCCCAGAAAACGCGTCCTCTCACTCTCTTCTGTGACAGTGTGAGGAATGAATGGATAAGGGCAACCTGAACCTCCACTAGCAAAGCGAAATGCCAGTACCATGGCCTGTAAATAATATGTCAGATAGAGTTCAAGCAAGCTCATACATACAATTCTCCTAATTCTATTGAGTGATACGCATTGCACAAACTCCCAAGTCTGCTAAACCTAAGTGCCTGCCTAACCTTCGAAACGGTGGTCCTTCAGCAGCCATGGTTATAGCAACCTGGTTTCGCTGTGCGTTTTCCACTATTCATCTCCGTTTGCTTTGCCGCGTCCTTTGATTAGCGGCACACTCATGAACTACATGTAGCAACGTCTCAGATCAAACCATGGTAGCTGGCAAAGTTCGGCTGATAGCTGCAAGTTTTACCTTTTTCTAATGTACTGTTACAGGGACGGATGCTGGACCTCGTTCTCTTCTCTTTTGCTTGCCTGTCCAACGAACCGTTGTCCACGTTGATTGTAGAAGGGGAAGTCAAATAGGAATTCCCAAGGGGTGCCGGAGGTCGAAGCTGGGAGCCAAAGTCTACTCATTGAACCATGCCATAGGGGACTGCATCTGTGGGAGCTACCAGCTATACCAGCTATACCAGCTATACCAGCTATACCAGCTATACCAGCTATACCAGCTATACCAGCTATACCAGCTATACCAGCTATACCAGCTATACCAGCTATACCAGCTATACCAGCTATACCAGCTATACCAGCTATACCAGCGAGCTAGCTACCAGCTAGAATCTGATGTGCCGTGGACGCCTGATTTTCATTCGATCGAGATTTTGTATGCTTGGCTGGCTTGTACCGGTAGTCACTCCACCTTCGTGCAGAAGCAAAGTTAGCTGGTTTCTGCACATCTTTGGTCGTTTCCAATGCTGCCTTACGATCAAAACACGACACAAAGCCACAAAGACCGCCTCTCCCCTCTGACCTCTCCCTCCCTTTCTGCTCCTCTCTTCGGTCGGCCTGCTCCGCATTGCTCACAGCCTGGCTTTCCATGGGACATACCTACCCCTACCAGTAGGCGAAGCCTCCTTCCGGGGATCCACTCCAAGTTCAGTCGCTGTATTCCCGTTACCTTGGTTGCTTGTTCCTGTGTCTGTCTGAACGCCTTTTCGCTTCTGAATCGTTGTCACTATCCCTTGTATGATCTTCTGTCGGTATGTTGCCAATGATTGTTTTCTACGCCTACCAGTACGCGAAGCCTTCTTCCGGAGCTCCCTTCTGAGTTCAGTCGCTGTATTTTGCCGGTCACCTTGGTTGTTTGTTCCTTTGTTGTCTGTCTGAACGCGGTTTCGCCTCTGAATAGTTGTCAGTATCCCTTGCATGAGCTGTTCCTGGGGCACGACTTCCCCTTTCGTAGTTCTTTTCAATGATGCTTCGTGTTGCATTGTGTCGGTGCTCGTAATTGCTGCAGTTTTCACATTGCCTTGGTTGTTTGTGCCTGTGTCTATCTGAACGTGGTGGTTTCGGCTCTGAATCGTTGTCACGATCCCCGGCACGAGCTGTCCCTTTGTACTTCTTTTCAAATATGATCCATGTTGCTGTCGTATTTTGCCGATACTTGTTTTGATAATGGCATTGGGTGGAACATTGCTTTGATTGTCAATCGTACGCCTCGTTGTATTATCGTGCCGTTGCAAAATGTGATCCATCATTAGTTCCACCCGTCCCTTTGGGTCATGCTTTCGACGCCACTTTTTAATCTCCTCGTCTGGAACTGACGTATCCAGGTACACACTTTGATAGACTTGTCCTGCTGCATCCATTTCATCTTTAATGGTAGCGACAAACCCCGATTTCCCGTGAACAAGTGTATGGCATTGACTTGCCAGCTTGACCTCTGCCATGATCATGAGAATCTCATACCCTTCGTCACCCGAAGGAATGTGACCATCCATACCACCTTGAATACCATTGTTGCGTGGTCGATCCAGGTAAACCCATTGATAATTCTTGTCGTGGTATTTTTGTACTTCGTGGATTGTCGTTTCGTCGTCTGTCAGCAACACAACAGTGGAACCCTCGGTAACATTGCCAATATCCAAGTACTCTTGTACCGCGGCGTATCGTCGAAACGGATGGCGGGGATATCCTACGTCTCCTCTTCTCACATGAATGACCGTGCAGTTATTCTGGAGCGACAAGGGAGACAAGCCATGCAGATGCTCCTTCAGGACTTGTCTTAGTTGCTTTCGCAGTCGATGCCGGGGCCGTGTCACGTATTGACGGGTCCATTGATACCGCTGCTTTTCGGATGCCGTATTCGTGGCTGATTTCGAGTAAACGTCATCACGGCCAACGACGGGGGAACAACTCGAGAGCGGCAAAAAGTAGCAATTCATATCCATGGATGGACAATAGTTCCATCGATCGGTGAGATTGGTAGAGAACAACCACCGGGCTCCATCCCAATGCTTGGTCATTTGAAAGGGCCGACGTTGATTGTGTGCCGCCCACAAGCCACGGGCAACTTGGCTGACACTGGCGCCATATCCGGCATTGATTTGATGGACTTGCAAGTCCTGTCCACACAAATTATCATGTCCGTCGGGATGGGGGAATTGCAGAGCATACAGCGCACGGAAAAAGGCCGCTCGCTCCGGATCTCGCATGCGAGCAAAGCAGACTTGCTGATCCACACCACTGCTAGAAACTGTGCTGTTGTTGTTGAGGGAAACTTCTTCCCAATCTGGATGATGAGTCCACCAGTGATCGATTGCTTCTTCTTGGAGCGTATCCCATGGAGCGCAGCAGCTTTCGAAAGCAATGTCTGTTGCGTTGGTACTGCATTGCATCACATCCGCAATCATTGCGTCTTGTGGCTCTTGATTACCCATCTTAGTCCTTGTATGGGACCACTGTTCTGGACCGTCTGCTCTTGTGTTGTGGTCAGAAGGGGGCTTCCCACGAGCAGCGTTTCTCTTTCGGCCATTGACTGGAAGCAGAACACGCCTGTCTGTACCGGTATGTCCGTGTTCGGTTGACTGGACTCGAAGCTGGCGTTTTTTCAAACTGCTTTGCTGTTGTTGTTGTTGTTGTGAAAGTGGAGCAGGAAGACTGGAAGCGTAAAAATCCAGGAGTTGATCTTGTCGGCTTTCCTGCCAGAAAACTGCGCTTCTCATTAAGCTCATACTCTGCAGGGCCACAAACAGAATCGACCCAAGGCAAACATCGCGTACTTTAAGGAAACCAGGTAGGAAAAACATTCGGTCTACCGTATTCAGAAACCTCCAATGATGAAACAATACTGCAACATCTACCAGAACACAATAATCAAGGACCTGATCCAGAACCAAAGTAAGTGATTTGACCGCCAAAAAGGAAATTGCGAGCCTGATGCAACGATCTCTTAGGTTAACGTCTTTTAACCGATAGTATCCACGAATGAATCGTTAGTTTGGATCGTTCGACTTCGCTCTTCGCTCGCTCGAGTCGAGTCGAGTCACTCGTCACTCGCTTTCTATTCTCGCGCTGTGTTCACGCGACACAAGAGGGTCTGGGGACAGAAAGTGGAAACGAAACTGGTGGTTCACTGGAGAACGCCAAGCTTGGACACTGAACCGAAGACCAGATCATCCATTACCAGTATCCACATTCATTTGTGTTCAGGCCATCCAGATTCGATTCCCATTTCATGCATCCTACAAGCTATACTTGTTTTGGCTTGATAGTTGTCCTGTCGCTGCAGTCTACTAGCTACTTCAGAAGCTAGCTATCTAGTACTTTTCGAATCACTCAAATCTGGAACCAGTGTTTTAATCTTCTTGCTTATTATTGTAAGCTGCTAATTAACATATCGGAGAATGTACTCTTTAGAAGTGTACAAGTTGACGTACAACCACTAATACACGGCAACGGAATGAGTTTGCTATAAGGAACACGCAGCATACCAGGTACGATACTCGAGTAATTATCTAAGTGACAGAGATTCATGCCTGCACAGATCCACAGGCTTAAAACACACGCTACAATGGAAGTCCGCCCTCACATGATGTGGTCTTCATGAAGAGAGAAGACATTCTGATGGCAAGGGAGACGGAAGTTCGTTGGAAACCAGAGGAATGCCCCAGTCACCCTAACTACAAAAAGCCAAAACCCTTCAAGTTCTAATAATGTCACTACAACTAATCACTCTTTGCTAAAATCGTATGACTACAACTAATGCGAACAATTCCAAGAAAAGAAGGGAAAGGACAGGTTGCATCAAGGTACAGATGTACATGTAGCTCGGATAGTATGAGATGTACATACAGATGGTAATGAGCACTGAAGAACACGGCCCCTCTTCGCACATTCACATTTGTTTTCTCTGTAAAAGGCGACACCACCAGGTGAGAAAAAGGCAACTTTAGCGCTTCATTAATTTTCTTTGGCAAAGAACTAACTAGAACCAGCAAAGCGACATCGGCGTCACTTTGACTGCATCCAGCCCCCCTGTCCGATCGAAATGACAACAAATGTTGGATTTGATTGGATGATGTCGGGTGACGTGACTGGACCATCCAGTCATAGCTACTGTACAGTTGCAGGTTGTACAGTGGCTTAGCCTTCTCCAGCGCCTTATGTCTCGTTCCTCAGAACAGACCCATCCTCGCCATTCTGATTTTGAAGGTCTCATCCGTTTAAAGGCAAACGTCGCTTGTGAATTTTGTTGTAATTAAAAAAGGAAATAAGCTTCTGCATCTGTCCGGTATGAAGCTCCACGACTTCGAAATAAGTATAGAGAACAAAGAACCGACACTTGCGACATTTGCAGCGATCCACTCCAATTTGTAGGAGAAAACTTCCACTACGGAAGCCAGTACCAGGTAGTCGGGGCCTGTTGTCATTCCGACCTTCCTGGCAACTTTTGTCCCCTGTGTCCATCACTCACATAACACCTTGAATTCAGTGGTTGAGGATTTCTTGAGCCACAGAAGGACTGCACCTACCTACGGCACTAGCTAGACAGGTGTTTTGAGGATCCCTCTCGCCTCACCTCCGTTTTCTCACAATTCTCAATTCCGAAACGATGAACATGAATAATACCAACCAAATCTTCCAACATCAGCCGGCTGTGGCCACCATCTTTGAGGAGATGAAACGCTTGAACACCGAAGGTATAAAAAGTCTCTTGGAAGAGGACAGCTCGACTGCAGCGCGTTTCTTTGTGAGTGCCTTGGGTCTTGCTCAAGGCCAGACCGCTGTCCACATTCCGGACGATGAGCAGGAGCCTCTGGCGGTACCTCCGCGTGATCATCGTCACATTCCCTATTTCTCTCCTATTCGAGGACTGCAGGACGGCGACTCTTCTGTCTACGTACATGACCAGCCGGTTTGGTTGGATGGCTGGTGGCTGGCAGCAAACGGTGACGTGTTGGAAAAAGCCACAACGTTTGCATCATTCGTCCTCTTCAATCTGGCTCTGTCCTATCATCACCGGGGTCTGGTGGAGCAAAAAGCGGCACACCTTAAGAGAGCATGCAAGCTCTACAACATCTGTGCCTCTGACATGATCCCACGGTTGCCCATGTCCATCATGGAATCCTTTGGGGTGCCTCTGGCCGCAGCTTGTCTGAATAACCAAGCACAGATCCAGTATCAGTATCTGGGTGATTCTGCAGCCTCGTTGCGTCTTGCCCACGAAATGTTGCAGCCTGAGATGCTGGCTCGCATGTACGCAGTTGCTTCTCAAAACGCTCAGTTTGCTCTCCAACTCGAAGAGTTCCTCTTGAACACCCAGCTCTTTCTGAACTGCTCTCGCAATGCAGCCCCGGTTGCCTGAGGCAAGTGCTTCGTTTGGTTGTTGCAAACAGAAGAACCACCACTTGATACACAGTACCTATTATTGAACGAAACCCGAGTCCGACGTTCAGCTTCGCTCATCTTTACTACAAATACTTTTTAACTGCTACTAGTAGTTACCACCCGGCCTCGATGCATACATGTAGCTAGCTCTGCCGTGTCTGTTCGTCAGCTTGCAAAGGTGGGGTTTTCGTACACTGTTTGCTCCAAATGCTTCACCGCTTCTCCTTTCCCTGCCGAACCATGTCTCTCCAGGAAACGAGCACCTGCATCCTAGCTGCCCCTCCCCATAGTGCAAGCCTTTTCATTGAGCCCCTTTGATGTGACAGGTCCAGCCAAACAGTACAAAGTTTGTTGGCCTCGAGCATTGTCCCACCTTAGCACAGTAGCAGCCCAGCCTATCTTAGCACCGAGTTTCTTTCATTGAGTGTACCGGTACATCGTACTTGCTCACAGGGTCACCGTGCGCTCTCGTGATGTTGCCATTACCGAGACTGTCACGTCGAAATGACTTCACACACACGGAATCCCTTTTGGTTGTAGTAGGGCGTAACACGTTTCTTGAGATTTTCCATTTTCTAACTCCTTTGGAGGTTATTACTGCACCTCGCAGGAGCCACACATGAATCCTCTCCATGTACTACCAGTACATGTAGCTATCATAGACTGGATCAAGACAAGTCTTTCGGCAAGGGTCCTGTACTAGCTAGTAGCTAGTTAGAGAGATCCCGATTCCAATAGATTGTACCATTCTGATAAAAAGAACTTTGCAGGCTTCCAGCAGAAAGGCTGTTATCTACGGAAGCCTTGAGTGTGCGGCTTTACTACATGTAAGTTTTTAAATGCAGCGAAGCTCATCTAAACGGAAGGGAACGCAGCAAGCCAGGGTGCGACTGTACGTACCGTAGATCGAAACTCGTCATCAATCATTCTCTGACCCGGCAAACGACAAACTTATGTGGTGAAGATCCACAGGTATAAAAAAGGCTTCCTTATACGAACCTGCGATGCTCTTGAGGACATCATACAGTGAACGTCAACATGAGTGCTAGCTAGCTAGTGGTTTCTATTGCGAGAAGACTGCTAGCGGCAATGCCAAGTCAGTGGATGCCAACGCTGGAGGCAAGACAAAGAAGTCGTTGCTGCCGCCGGTATGGAGTGCAATATGCCCAGTGCAGCAGTTGCAGAGAAACAACAAGTTAAGGAGGTACCACCAGGTCTGCACGTCAGCGGGAGGTAACCCGGAAAACTCTCGTGTTATTTCAGACTTTATCGAGCCTATTCTATCCACCGACAATGATCCGATGCCGTTAGCTCCATGCCGCTGCAGTTAGACTCACCGGCCATGTAGAGACCCGTGCAGTGGATGTGTGTGTTCGCAATAGCCATGGCTGTTAACTTGTGTCGGGGTAGAGAGTTGCTGGTGCTTTATACGTGTAGAACAGAGTGTGTTAGTTTGGGGTATCGAAAAAAGTCTGTTAACTCTGCACCATGTCACTCACACGTTACACCCCTCGGCAACTCTCCACCCCAACGGTGTCCTGTAGAGCACAGGCACACCTTCCATCCGCTATGTCCATACCCTCCTTGGTTCACCGGAAGGGCATGATCGAGCACCACAACGTACATCATTGTCTGTTGTTGAAAAAGGCAGTTTGTTGTTGTCATGGAGTCTGGATCATCGCGACAAGCACCAAGAAACAGAGCCAGCCGGATAGGAATCTGCATTTCCCATGTGTTGACAAGCCATTTGTTGGTACTCATTCCACGGCGAAATCCATCGTAGAATAAAAGCGAGATAATGAAACGTCCATTTCATTGAAAACCATGCCGGTAACATCCATGGTTGTAGTTGAGTATGCTGGAGAGCCATCTCCAGACTTTGTTGCCAGCTTGGCTTTCAGTCATCAGAAGACGCCAGCATTCAGGAAGTTGGAGGATGGCACATTTGAGAGGTCTCGAGAGTGGCTGGATTCTGTTGACAACAACAAGAGAGATGATGAGGATTCCACTATCTTCTTCTCGGAACAGCTTCTGGTTGTTGCTACTTTCAATATCCAACGTACCTTTGGGCATCTGCCTGCTGACCTTGTTTGCTTTGTTCTCGCTGATGGTAGCAACAGTCTCATGTATGCATTTTGTGATTCTGCTTTGAGTCATCAGTTGATTGTGGATAAGGAGATGATCGACCGTGGTTCCATGCTGACTATCAACAAGGCAGAGGTCTTTTGGTTTCAGCAATTTCCACAGAGGATGCGTTGTTCTCTCATCATCTTCGACATGTCATGGAAGCTGCCGCCCAATGTTCTGGGAAATGTTGTCAAGGAAGGTGACATCAGGCGGACCAGGTTCCGTACGAAGGATGTTTCCCATTGCAAGGACAATAAAGAAATTGTTTTCATGACCAAGTTCAAGCCTGACCCATATGAGAACTTTATGATTCTTCGTCCTGAGGCGGCAAGTGAGATGGTGGCAAGAGCAGACAGGGATGAGTTCATAATGCATCTTTTGTTGTGGTCCCCAGCATCAAGAGCTTGTGAGTGATGCAATGAATGAAACGTACGTTGTATTGAAGTTGATTATGACGATTATGAGATTATCATCCTGAGGATGAAGTTGATGGGAAGCCGCGAAAGTGCGACTGCATCGAGGAACATGGTCTTCTGACTTGTGCTGTGAACGAAGCTCCGATCAACTTGGTGGACAAGAACGATCTTCTCCATTCCTTGAAGAAATACATCATGAAGAAAACAAATGGGAGGTGTACAGTCATGACTTCAAAGGCCTCACCCAGTCTCACAAGCGCTGGTGCTGCTATTCTGGTACGCAACCAATATCTTCCAGTTTGAAGTTGCGTCCCCATTGCCATCTTGTGTTGTTCAACGTATTTGGTTGGTGTACCCAAACTTCAACAATGCGAAGGCAACTGGTTTCCTCTCCACTGAAGAGCGATCCCGTAAGCGAGGACGTTTCGAAGAGGATCTTTCCTCGAAGATCGAATAGGAGTCCGTTGATACCGTGTCAAGGAAGAAGTATTCGCGACGTAGCAAAAAGTTACTGTGTCGCCAGATTTGAGAGTGTTCTATAGTCTGACAGTATAATCCAATTACTTAGATGCTCCAACTATTTGTTACTCTACAATTCTATTCTTCAGAAGTAGCGATTGTTTGTTCGTGCGCACCGGCTAGCTCTTCCAGTTCCTCAGTCACGGCTTCGGAATCTTCGCCAAATCCAATACAATCTACAAGATGTAGAGTTGCAATAGCGATGTCTTGCTCGCTTATCTCTGTTTGACTGTCAGTTGAAGGCTCTGCATCCTCTCCATTCATCGGGACTGTGTCAACTCGCACATGTAATGACTTCGGTTTTCCGTGATTGACACATCCGCGATAGCTGGATCGCGAGTGGCCAAGTTCGCCGCAGCTTCCACACACTTTGCCGGTAGTATCAGTTTTCTTCGAAATCTTTCTTTTCTTTGCTGGATTCTTTTTTGCCTTGGCAATGGCAATACCAGAGGAGTACATGCGGCCATCCTTTCGGTCTTGTTCCAGCTTTTCCTGGTACTCCTTGAGCTTCAAGTAAGTCTCCCTATTTCTTTTCTTTTGTATTCGATGGTCCTTCGCTTGCTGATTCTTTTTTTCCGATACTCCTCTTGTTGCCGCAAGAAATAGGCGGTTCCTTCCTCCATTTCCAACCCGAGCGCAATGAACAGTCTTCTGAAGAACTCTTCTACACCCAACAGAGTGATGCCAACTGCAATGCAAACCCGGTTTTGGAGGGAGAGTGAACCGGCGTAGACTTTGTTCTTGGGTGCGAGCCAGGCTATTGTGTTGTTGAGCGATTCATTCGCGTTTGTTGTCATGTTATGGTTTGATTCATCGAGGCGTTCCATCGTGGTAAATTCATTGAAAGGATCAACCAGTGATTCGTAGAGAGACTTGTCTTTTGTCTTGCTCCTGTACACTTTCCCACACTCACTCCTTTCCTTTTCTGACATCTCTTTACGTAAGCAGAAGTCTCCACAGAATTCATGGTTGTCGAATGTGTGTTCCAGCACGGCCTTGACAGCATCAGCCCATTTTTCTCTGGGCATGGACGGAAGCTTTTTCAGGAAGTAGACATAGTAAGTTGTCAAACGAAGAATGTCGCCTCCAGAAACTTGCTTTAACACCCTTGCCCTTCATCCCGTACAGATGGTTGCGTATGTTTTCTTGCGGTGAGCAGGATCGGCAACAAATACTGGCTCTGGTACCGGATACCGAAGGTGTCCGTCTGATCTAGTCTTTGCTTTTCCCTTTTTTGTGTACCCCAGAATGGATAGTTTGTCGAGTTTGCGGTGTTTCAACCAATCTTTGTTGCTCCATTTGCAATGAGCCTTCATCGTGGAGTCATCATCAGTGCAGATCTTTTCCATGACAATGTTGTACAGGTCGTACAATTCTTCCACCATGATCAACAACGATTGAGGCTCCATCCCACCAGAACTGCCCTCATAGTTGACCATGCATTCATGCTCTGGAACATCCAGTCCTCTGCTTAGATGATACTGGCACTTTCGACAGAACTTGGATCTCTGGCAAATAACACACGGTTTACCAGTTTGGGCTCCCATAATGCTGGCATGACCAGAAGGTGAGTTGTACGATCGGCCGCTGCCTTTCTGATTCCATCCCATGTCCATGCCACCATTCATGATTGCTCTTTGTTCAGGCCGTTCACCCTTTTTAACAGATGCCTCCCATTCCACGAAATTGAAGTTGGTTCCACGATTGCTCCTTCGAACTTCCTCAATCAAGTTGTCAACAAGAGCCTTGTGACAAACCTCTCGAATGAAAGGAGCCAATGATAGTTCGATGTTGGAAAAAGACTTCTTCGACATTGTGGTATAATTGGGTAAGTTCAGCATGGCAAGTGTCCGTTGTGCTTCCACACCACCATCTCCGGACCAGAGAAAAGCTAACACAAACTGAATATTGCATGAAAAATCCAGGTTCGTCGCATGGTTCGAGAGCTTCGGAAGGGTAGTCCTCGACACATCCGATTCTTTCAGTTCACCGAATGACTTGCATTCTTCATTGCCACAGGTCAACTGACCGACAGAGGTAACACAGGTGGTATTGAATGTAAGCTGGACACTTGGCTGCCTGCATGTAAAACACCTTGTGTTGCCATTGACTAATTCAGATAACCCTTTGTGCTCCAGGATCAGGCGACGTGGGGTTGGTGGCTTCTTCTTTGTGTCATCATCCGGAACAGCAAGAGGGGAAAGGGCAGTGGCAACATTGTCAACAACTGGAGAGGGAGTTGGTTGTGGATGCTCCTTCCTCTTCGGCGCTCACATGTTCAACATCGAATGGGCCCAACCAGGCCTCTTCGCAATGACGTCCACCCGGTTTCCGGCAGCTAACTTGTTGATTTCTCTCTGATAGTTGCTTGTTGCCTTGTTCTCACTGATGGCAATACAAGGCAAAATGGGGGTAACTCCTCTCTGACGGCGACTTTCTCTCAATACCGGAGTTGACTCATCTCCTCCTACCACTGCCGGAGTTACAATCTGTGGGTTGTCTGTAGAGGTTTCAGCTCCTTCCTCTTCTGAGGCAACATTCATAACTTGCCGTTGTTTACTTTTGTTACCACAGAATTGGCCATGGTCGCCGGTTGCCAGCTAAAATAAAAAAGAATTCCAAAAAGAAAGATTCCATCTCCGGGTAAAATTCACTGCAAACGTCAGAGGCTGACTAGGTGTGGATTGACCATGGTTCAGCATGGATTTCTATTTTAGCTATCGACTGTGGACTGGCCAAAACAAACTCGGGAGTAAAAGCGGGTGGTACCTCCTTAACGGAAGAAGCCAAGGCAAAACTACTGTGGAATATCGCCTTGCCGACGCGCCTGGTGCCAGCGCCCATTCCCATTCCCATTCCCATGCCCTTACCGTCAGATCAGGCACGGCAACCGACGCCAAGTATGCAGTAGAAACAAGTTTCGCAGGTCCCACAGGGGAGGTCAGCTTTTTGGACGAAGCTGAACCGGAGCGAGGCTTCTCCGAGCGAATCACCACGACCATTGCAGGCTACCTTTATAGGTGCCGAGCAGCCCAGCAGGACATCTGAACAACAACGTGTCGCCTAGAACCTGTGCAGATTTCTCAGCTTGCTATCACGGGAAGACCTGTTCGCGATGATGATGGCCAAAGGAGACGTGCCTTGTTTGCATTGGCTGTACTGGTCATGCTAGCTGTTATTGTGGCTCTCATCTTGGGACTCCTCGGCGTATTTGACGGAAACGAGGTGCAAATTGTCAAAGAAAATACAAATGGCAGCCTTTCAACTCTCCAACGAATCAAACAGGAGGTGCCTTACGATGTGAATATCATGAGGTTCTCACTAACAAAATGGATATTCATGGATTCAGCCACAGCTTTGTAAGTGCAAACGTGATTTCGCCTGGTATGGAGTCAACTTGCTTGCCATCCCATCGATGTATCTCTCTTGAAATAGTGCATTGCAGTTGCAGCCGCCATCTTTGGACCAGAGACTGCTAAGGACAAGATGGACTTTCAAGAATACAAGAATTGGACATCTCTGTTTGGGCCTCTTGCAGAAGGGCAAGTGGACTTGTACAGTTCTTTTTACACACATACCATGGAACGAGATGTACTCCAGACTCAAGTCAAGACTGGGCTGGCTTGTCCTTTACCCCTCCTTGTCTATATATAGGAATGGGAGTTGCTGGTGATCCATTTCATGTTGGCTGTGTAGGAGACAACTTCAAACATCTCGATGAGTTACTGTCTGTAAAAACCATGCCAAACACCATGTTTTGGTGGCTTGCTGCCTGTGCCAGCCAGGTGGCCTCCCCTCAACGGTGCAATGAGAGAATCAAATAAAGGCACGGAGAGGTTCTGCCACGTACTCATCATGGTACCCCATCCTCGAGATCGTTCCACCGCGGTGGCATATTGAGGGGCGTAGATGCATTCGTTCGGAAACTCGTGCGGCTATTGCGAGCCACTGCAGTACTTTGGTCGCGTGAGAATTCGAGTGAGTGCTCCCGCCATGCCTGTGGTAGCGTGCGCCACTGAGTCAATCTGCCTTAGGTGCAAATGTTAGAATCATTTGAATCCAAACAACTCCTGGCACCACTAATCCTTCCTGTACGATTGTGGTGTTTTCGGCACTGCGACGCTTTCGGAACTCTTCGTGTTATTGTCGTCCTCGTCGTGAATCAAGGGCAAATTGGTGCTGCGAAACGAGCGGGCCCGTTCAGTGGGAGAATAGTTCCTTGCATTTGATGTCGAGATAGAGTAGGGACTTACGTGACTCCGTAGGTTCCTCTAGTAGCTCGTCCTTGGTGTCGTTGGATGTAAGGGCCTCCACCAGCAAGCAGAAGAGTTTGACATGGTAGTTTCCGTTGGCATTGACTTTGGAAATCGACACACCACTTGAGAATCTGATCACAACCATGCATCCAAGGAACCATGAACTGGGTGAGACAACGGCGACACCATCGAGAAAACAGAGCTCCGGTCATCCACGCACGTACAGGATCTGCCACAGGATCGATCCCAATCCACAGCCATGGAAACGTATTCGGGTCAATGCCACCAATCCCGACCCGCAAAAGAAATCCATGATGTTCCTGTGATTTATTGGTCGGTATCACTTCGTAAGCCGTCGTTGATAGAGTCACGAGGGTGTTTTTGGTGTACTGGTACGTCATGGCAATCGATCGCCATGGCAAAATTTCTGTATGGTACCGTTTCCAATCGCAGCCTCTCTCGGTCCATATGTGTATAGTGGACTCGATCTTTGGTGAAGCCATGATGGAGAAGTCGTCCATGGTACGTCGTTGTCGTCTCTGTGGTCTCTGTGGCATGTTCGTCACTAATATTTGAGTCAGTGTGATTGTTGTTGTCATCAAAAATGTCAATGGAACGAGATTTAGAGCTGTACGGCGTACATGTTCATCATTTCAGACTACCAAGCCTGGCCCTCGCTGGCTCTCGTAGATAACCTCCCTACTCCAAACCCCCTTTCTCATATTCATCGTTGTCATCCTCCGCGTCAGACAATCATGCAATGACATAGACTAGTCCGGGCATCGATCAATGTGCCGGAGAGCAGAAGACCCAACCCACGTTATCAGTATCTATTCTACCTGTTCCGATGGACGAAGACTGCTTATAGTCGATCTCGTACCCGAAGAAAGTTTTGTGACTGAGGTAGATGCGGTAACCCAAAACATGTATTAAAGCTTTCCTTCATATTTACCTCAGCTACCATTCTAAAGCAGTCATCAGACAAGCAAGCCCCATCACGCAGTCACCCCACTTAACAACTTCCAAGTGAGCTCTCCATCCCGATTATGATTCCATCCCGCTCCTTCAAAATTCCATCCCGCTCGATCTAGATCTCGTCTCCAACACTGCAAATTAAACCTTTCATAAAATCCGACAAGAGTCCACAACATCTGCAATAAAGGAAGCAGTCCACCACACATCAACAACAGCAACAATGAAATTCTTCTCAACCATCCTTGATGCCTTGAACCACCATGCGGTGGAGACACCCAACAAGGTTGTCCTGACTTGGGTGGATATTGATTGCGAGGAACAGAACAAGTTGACTTTCAAACAGCTGGAAGACCAATCCAATGCCGTAGCTGCTCGTCTCCTCAAACTGGGATGCAAAAAGGGAGATCGCGTCATGGTGGCATACCCCTTCGGCCTCGAGTTCTTGGCTGGCATGTTTGGAGCCATGAAGATTGGAGTCATCCCCTGTTCCATCTATCCGCCCAATCCCAACCAGCTCAAGACTGATATGCCAAAGTTCCGTGGATTTGCCAAGGACGCCGGAGCCAAGTATGCTCTCTCGACTAACATGTTTGCCACTGCCATGACTGCAGCCAGTGTCCTCTTCAAGACAGGGGTCAAATGGATTGGGACCGACAAGCTAACAATCGAGAAAAACAAACCCAACAAGCCCAAAGATTATGAGACCTACAATGGGGAGTCTGATGATGTCTGTTTTATTCAATACACCTCTGGCAGCACTGGGCGACCCAAAGGAGTAATGATCAGCCATGGAAATCTAGCAGAAAATTGCACAGCTCTTGTGCAAATGACAGATGTAACTCCATCATCGGTGGCAGCCCTGTGGGTTCCACAATACCATGGTAAGTTCAAAACACAAGGAGCATACTATTATGATTGGATCTCTCATGTTTGTAATCCAGACATGGGCCTTGTGGCGGGATTCATGTCTTGTCTCTATGGTGGCTTCCACCTTGTGCTGGCATCACCCCTGGATTTTGTTTCGAGGCCTCTTCTGTGGACAGCCATGATAGAGCACTACCAGGCAACACATACCTGTGCCCCAAACTTTGCCTATGCCTTGCTCCTGAAACGTTTGGAGCAAGCCAATCGAACTGCCAACTGGAGTTGCGTGAAGCGAGCCATGTTTGGCGGGGAACCTGCCCAAGATCATGTTGTGGAAGCAGCAGCAAAGACCCTCTCCATCAAACCAGAGCATGTATACAACATCTATGGACTTGCCGAATCTGTCGTGTTCCTCACTGGTGGCTCTGTCTACCCTGACTCTGAGGGGCTTGTCTGCTGTGGAGAAGTAGATTCCCCGACCCTCAAGCTCCGAATTGTCCAGGATGGAAAAGAAGTTGAGGATGGACAGGTTGGGAGTATCTGGGCCCAGTCGCCCCGTGTGGCTGCTGGCTACTATGGACAACCTGAGCTTACGACGTCCACCTTCGCAAATGTCTTACCAGGCTAGGATGGAAGCTGGCTTGATACTGGTGACTTGGGCAAGGTTGTTGATGGACAGCTTTACGTTACTGGGAGGGTCAAGGATGTCATCATTATCAATGGAAAGAACTACTATCCAACCGATGTGGAGCTCTCTATTGATGATCTCTTTGGTGATGCCATCCGCCCAGGCAGGACCACTGCCTTCCAACATGGAGAGGACAGTGTTGGTATCACAGTCGAAGGCCGCAAGGACTTTGACAAGTTAGGAAACGAAGATTTGGCTGTTCAGATATCCAATCATGTATCTCAGGTGCATGGGCTTCTTGTCTCTGATGTTGTTGTTCTGAAGTTGGGTGTAACACCAAAAACCACCTCTGGAAAGCTGAAGAGGAGCGAGAGATCAGGCAGACCACTATTGCTGACGATTGGAAGGAATCTTCTGTTCTGCTAAGATTCGAACGACAGACAAACATCTCAAATTTCCAAGCAAAGGTATCGTCTTTCAAGAGGAGCTCTTTCCTCGAGCACAGCTTTGCAATGAATGGGGTTACAAGCAGCGAGTTCTATTTGTCAGAAGGAACTCAACATGAAATCAGGAGAAGATCAATGACACTTCCATTTGGATATCTTGAGCTTCCTGATATTGACCTTAGCCAAACAAATACCATACCCAGCCAAGCTGTTGAAGCTGTTCATGCTGTAGTGTGCGATCCCAGCAAGTTGGATGAGTATTTCTTGGAACTTCATCTTTCTGGGGTCTCTGGCATGGATGAAGCTTGGTCCAAAGCCACCAAGACAACAGCTGCAATGCAAGAAATGTGCTCCCAAATCCTGCAGCATCTTGAGGACAAGCACCCAACCATCTGCCAACTTGCCAAGACTCTCAGTGAAAATCCTGACTGGTTTTTAATCGATGACAGGACATGTTTCCTTTCTAAACTTGTGCATCAAATCTTTGTGCTTCAATGGGTGACAGCCTTCATGATGGATAACCCAAAGTGCATGCAACATAAGTTGCAGAATGATGCTGCGTGGGAGGCTCAGACGCAGAATGATCGGTCAGTTCCAGTGGAGCTACAAGAGAAGCTCAGCCTTCCTGAGAAAGACTCAATGTATGGGAAGTGGCCATTCTTCCTTTGGATCAAGAACAATATATGTCCGGCAAATCCACACGAGATATGCCATTTATACTTACATGTAACTTTAAATGCACCATCTCCCCTAGGGAGTGTGGTGCCGGTGAGGGAACCAGTGGTGGTCTCCTGTGAAACCAATCCCCGCTTCGGCCGGGAGCGGTTACCCAAAGCTTCGGCTGCAGCACAGTGATGATCCGTCCATTGGGGCCATATCCGTTATAAAGATTTTGTTGTTTTTTTCCTTTGGATCAAGAACAGGTCCATCCTTGCACAATTGAACCTTTTAGTACAGAGTTTACGATCTCCTGAAGGACCAGGAATGGAGAATCAGCTAGAGAAACTCAACGACCTTCAATGTTTGAATTTGTTGGAGGCTGTCTGGCTTGAAAAGAGTAATGGACTCAAGGACAATTCGGAAGTTGGTAGGCTACTAGCTTCCTATCCCCTGTTGGCAGCAAGGACCCAATCTATGATGGCTTTGCTTGAGCCTCAAAGCAGTACATGGAATGACCTCTACATTGCTTGGAACATGCATTTTGTTTCCTGTAAGTTTTTTTGTTTGTTCATGTCTCAGAGTGGATTCAACCTAACACATCATTTACCTCGGCAGTCTTGCTGCCAGAGCCCTCAACCCCTTTAATTGTTTTTCCTGCTACGGCGGTCCCTGCAGGTATAAGGGTAGGGTTAGAATGCAAATAAGCCAGCAAAAACTAAATAAGTATCCTAGGATGGTGCTTTTAAGAACCAGCTAAAGCTATTTACATGCATCCTAGTAGGGGGATCTGCTTCTACCAGGAAAAACTCTGAAACCAGAGAAACCTATATAACTAGTATTCTAGCTAGCTAGGGGTATCTGCTTCTAGCTTGCTATGGGAATCTGCTTGTAGCTAGGGGGAATCTGCTACTAGCTAGCTAAAAAAAAATCTTTATAACGGATATGGCCCCAATGGACGGATCATCACTGTACTGCAGCCGAAGCTTTGGATAACCGCTCCCGGCCGAAGCGGGGATTGGTTTCACAGGAGACCACCACTGGTTCCCTCACCGGCACCACACTCCCTAGGGGAGATGGTGCATTTAAAGGTTACATGTAAGTATAAATGGCATATCTCGTGTGGATTTGCCGGACATATATTCCCAGCTGATTTGTGGGTTTGGGAGAATGGATTCAGGGAGAGTTACTTGGTGAGTTGTATGGAGGGAGAAAAGGAGGGGCGGAAGCGGACGCAGGAGGGAATTGGAAGGATGGGAAGTGGAGGTCCTGCATCAATTACCCAATCTCAAGCTGTGTGGCGTAACTCTCTTCAAGGACCGGTTCCCCTGTGTTGATCCATTGTCGGATTGATGCTGTGGGCCATTGGGATCTTGTGTTGATTGGTGTTTGGAGAAGCCATACCTGTTCTGGTCTGAGGTTTCCGGTGTATTTGTCATATAGCAGCTGAAGTTCATGGATAACCTGTCGGTTGGCTGCTTGTGCCTTGGTTTGTGCGTCTTTGCCATGCCGATCATGATTCCTGGCCTCCCAGAGTTCGAACCACTGGTTGAGCAATTCTTGAATAATCCCTGTGAGCCAGGTTGGGCCATTTTTCCGATGTGTTTTGAGATTGCATTCCTTGAGGTGTTGATCCTGGCGTTGCGTCCACTGTTTGGATAGTCGTCCCTTGAGGAGCTGATCCCAACCGATGGCTGCTTGGGCATTTGCGATATCGGCAACACTGTCATCGTATTCAATTCCTGTGGTATCTTCTCCATCGAGTACTTTTTGGAGTGCTGAGAGAAGAAGTGTTTGTAGCATTGGGTGAGTGTTGTGCTTGTCAGTGTATTTCTTGAGTGCCTTCGTCCATGCCGTTCGTTCTGATTGTCGCTTGGGGCATCTCAGGACGTGTTCTCTGTTTTCTTCTGGGGCACCACAGGATGCGCATGCAATGGGATATTTGGGGTGGTATTTGTTGACACGTTTACCGGCGGGGTGCCAATTGCAAAGGTACTTGGTGAGGGAGGTGCGATGGTGATCCAAGCGATTGAGTGCCCTCCCATGGCATTTCCAGTCGATATCTTCAAATGTGTCGCTGTCCCACTCATGTTTATTCATGAGAAACTGTTTGTGTTGAGGCACCGATCCTGCCAGTTTGAGTTCATGTTTCAGATTGTGTGTGATGGTTCCACCTGGAAGATTGAGCTGACACCCACTCGTTGGAAGAATTGGGACGTGTGTGTGGTCGAAGTTTGGGTGGTCCACCAACCATTGGTTGGCTAGGCCGTCGGCGTCGACGTTGAGTTGGGCTTCCAGCGATAATTCATCATATGGTTTCTCATCGTCCTCATGGCCTTTGATGTGTTTGATTTTAGGGATGGAAGTGGCCGGTTGGATTTGTTGTAGAGTTTGTCGAATTTCGGCGATAATGTCCCACTCAGCAGATAAGGTACTGTTTGGAAAGATCCTGTTGAATTTGGAGTATTTCACTGTGACCTCAACCATTGATTTGTTATCACAGAAGCAGCCATGCCTGTGGATTGGTATGTCTGTGGAGTGAATCGTGGTCATGTGGTGGAGGAATCGAAAACCGGACAACATCCCGTATCCTTCGGCTCGGTATGAGTTCAGTTGGTAACCAAATGTCGGACCGTTGCACTGAGCCAAGCGGGTACCTTGGGGGTCACTGAGAATCCACCCAAAAGATCCCTTACCATCGGGAGCTGACCCATCACAGGCCAGAATGCAAGCTTTAGTAGCAAGAGCTGTCCAAACCTCAGTTTCGGGAACCAGAAAGTGTAAGTCCCGGAGTAGATGCTGTTCCCAGGCGTCCAAAGTAGCAATGAGTGTGTTGATTGATGTGTGTGTTTCTGGCTGCTGTTGCTGTATGACATTCTCATAACCCGTCATTTGAAGTGTATAGGGTCTCACTTTGTAATCACACGGGGCCGCAGTTTCAGGTGGAGTGTTGACAATGCCAGAAGGTGTCTGGTCGAAATCGTATCGGATGCTCTGATGCATGGTCCATCCCTCGGGAGTGTGACAATACATGTGATCGGAGATTTCCGTGATCGATCCAGGGTCGTACAAGGCAGGCCATCGTCGTGCTTCTAGCTAGCTAAGCGCAAGTTAAGCACTAGCTAAGCACTAGAGGTATCTGCTTCTAGCTAGCTGGCTAATAGGGGTATCTGCTTCTACACTGAAACCTTTCTGCCGAGGTTACACAGCTCCGCTGGCTTATCTTTTTTTGTTTTTGCAGGGTCTGCAGATAAGGACTCCTCCACTTGGATGGCATCCAAATTGCTGCTCCCTTGCATCATTGGAGATGTCAATGCAAGTTTCTTTTATGCCAGGACAACAAGCTTGTATCTGGTTCTACAGACTATAGGAAGGAGAACAACTTCTCCAAAGTATTACACCCAATCAATCTTGTCAAGAAGAGCACTTGAGATCTTTGGAAGGCTCAACCTTTCTTGGGCTCAAGAACTTGGATTCTCCCACCCACCACTTGGCAGTGACAAAGGAATGACACTCAATGAAGAAGATTGGCTCTCCCTGTTTGACCAATGGGGAAGTGAAAACCAGAAATCCCAGACAACCAACCCAAACTCTGATATCAATGCCTCTAAAGCTGGTGCCGGAGCTACAGACCCAGATGACTTCTCCATAAGATATGACAATATAATCATGTCTGTCTTTGGGTCACATATTGACACATCCAAGACTTGGGCTGAGAATGGACTCACGTCTCTCAAGAGTGCTGAGCTCAGGAACAAAGTGGAAGAGGAGCTGCATGTGGCACTTCCTGCTAACTTTGAACAACTTTACCCAACCCCCAAGGTACTATCAGTCCACCTGTCTGCATCAGAGGGTAAATGCTTTCCTAAACAAGACACAGACAATCATCCTGACTTTCACTGGAACTCATCACAGTCCAGGATCAGCAAGCTGCAACTAGGAGTGCTCCAAACGCTTGGTGCATTTGTGATTCTTTTTCTGGTTTTAGTATCAATTGTTCCATCCTACTACCTTGTCTCCTGGGTGATGGATCAGTGTTACTCAACTGAAATTGGGGAGTGTAACGGTTCATTCTTTTGGATTTTGTTGCCCATGATGGTCCCTCTATTCATGCTGTCTTTTTCCACAATTGTGTTTCTATGCAAGATTACAATCACTGGCAAGTATTTACCCAGGCAGTTTGATCTCTTGTCATGGGACTATGTTCAGTGGTGGTTTATGGACAGGCTCATGGATGTTTGGGAGTCACTGGTTGGGCACTTCTTTGTTAAGACAAGGTTTATTTGGATCTTCTACTGGCTGCTTGGTGCTGACTTGGCTTGGACTGCCAAGATTGAATCCTACATCCGAGAATTTGATCTCATCAATGTTGGCAGCAAAGCTACTATTGGTCACTCTCTCAAGTGCAGGAAATTCTCTTACTCACGTACTGCAGGAGGATGCCCTAAGATGACTTTCCGTCCAATTGCTGTTGGAGCAAATTGCACAATCTCTGGCATGATCTGTCCTGGGGCAAAGATTGGAGATGTCAGCAAGGTGGAGACATTGTCTGTTGTTGAAGAGGGAGCCATTGTTCCTGAGGGCGTCCTTGCCCAAGGAAAACCAGCCTATAATGCTGGCTTATTCAGGCATACAGAATCAATTGATGTGGAGGAGTCGATGCTGGATGTCTTCAAGATGCTTTGGGCAATATTTGAGGCATACCATCTTTTCACACTTGCCTTTGTTGGTAGCATTGTGATGCAGGAAATCTTGCCTTCATGGCGGTATGGAGGTATTCTTCATTGGATCCTGCTGTTGCCATTTACTTCCATCCTGGCACTTTGCTCCAGCATTGCCCTCAAGTGGCTTCTGATTGGGACACGGGACCCATCAGATGAGTTCGAGGGTTCACTCTACAACCGAGCAACTAACTGGGCATGCGACTTCCACTTCCATGCAGCTGGTTTTGCTGTTGCTCCTTTCTGCGGTGCATCCAAAATCTGGAACATTATCTTCTTCCTCCATGGCCTTGACATTGACTTGGAGTCTCGCGTAAATGGTCTCTATGCACATTTCCAACCATCAAAGGTTGATTTTGTGAAGATCCAAAAGTCTTTTGCCTCAGCCATCTCGCTAGACTTGAGCAAGCAAGAAGGCGTCAAAATTGAGGTCATCAACAGCAGTGTTGGCTATAATGCCAATCTTCATTCCGGTATCAAGATTATGCAATCTACAATTCCTCCAAGGTCAGATGCGTCTAAAAGTGTTTATGACTTGAACCAACAATCAAGCCATGGTTTGTCCAAGCCCAGTACTGTCACACTACAGACAGAGCTGCTGCAAGTTTTGTTGAATGTGGTTCTTTTTTCATCCATTATACCTTCCTACGAGGTTGGTCTTGCAGCTTCAACCAGTCCATCATCCGCCATTACTCTACTTGGGTTGATCACAGCTTTTGTACTGCAGTGGCTTGTTTGGATACTCTTGACAAGAGCTGTTGAGATCATACTCTTCAAGTTGCCAAACCATGTCCAGCTCAGTTTTTTTGGAGTCTACATCAACACTGTATGGGTCTTTCGTGTTGGCAATTTGTTGGAGAAACTCCTGTATGGAACTCCAATGTTTGGCTACTATGCCAAGTTGATGGGTGCTGAAGTCAGCGGGGACCTCTGGTACTTTGGTGATGAAGTCTATGAGTATGGTAAACTACACTTCAAAGGAGATGTACTTGTGGACAGTTCCCATTTGAGTGGACACTATGTTGATGGAAATGGGCTGACCTTGGAAGACACTCATGTGTCTGGGTTGTTGCATCCAGGTTGTTATGCTTCTGCTGGATCAGTGGTATCTGCTGCGGACCATGATCCATGGAAAGTGTTCTTAAGAAGTGATATGGGCGCCAAGGATTCAACGAATCTGCCAAGTGATTCAACTTCCAACAATGTTGATACATCAGACATAGTTTAATTTCGTCTCCATAGAGACGACCTGCTTTTGAGGTCTGTGGGTATGGCGATCGATCACAGACAAAGCCGATTGTTGTTGTTGGCGTTTCTCGTTCGGGCGTGGTTTGACTTTTTTTTGAAAGGCAGAATTTGCGGTGGTGGCTGCTCCAGTAGTGCTCCGGTAGGGGATCCTGTCGCTCCGATAAGCTTTCACTCTTCTAGCGGTATCGACGACCAATGGATTGTTGCCCTTCTTCTAAAGTAGCAGTACTAGCGGCGGTAGCAGTGGCCGATGTTGTTCTTACAGTGGTACCGTAGCGGTAGCGCTTGTCTTGCGGAAGAGGCTCTGCCGATGGACTCGACTCGACTCGACTCGACACGAGTAGCCACTGTTGTCAATCTCTCAATTGTTGTATTAATAGTAGCAGCGGTAGACAGTCGGTTATTGTTGACGTGCATGGCGAGCACGCTTCATTCTATCGGTGCGTTCGTTCGTTCGTTGTTGTGAATAAACATTCGACTTTCCTCGGAAAATCCCAACTCCTTCTCCTTCGCTCTTTTGCACTGTTCGTGGCCTTGCTCGTGGCTTCGTGGCGAAGATAACAAACAACAACGAAATGGGCCGCCGCCGCAGCTACAGCCGCCGTCGAGTGGTGGTTGCCGTTCAGTTGAGTGGTGGCAGGTGGTGGCAATGGACAATGGACAACCTCCTCTCGCCGATGGGCTCCAGCATGATCCAGACAACCTTTGCACACCAAACCAAGTGCTCTATATATGTTCGTTTTAGATGTTGTGTTAGAGGCGATCGGAACGGCTTGTTTGGCTACACCCATGCCATCGTTGGTGTGTCGAAAGTGCGCATGCATTTCCGTGAAGTTATGGATCTCGTGTTAATTACAGTAAAAACCATCGGAGCTGTTGACAACTCTAGTGAATAGTACTCGTGACTGACGTCAGTGCTCTGGATCGAAGTCTCCAACAAATGAGACCTCCGAATCAGCCACAAACACACAATCCCCTTGATCGCTGCAATCTCCAGAGATACAGTACGGTACCGGTAGGGTACCAGTATAGAAGGATGCAGATTCCTATAATAAAGCACCTTAAGATTGTCTTTACGACCCTGGCGCTTTGTCATGACTGTCTTGGGTTTGTCCAGGTCGGTCCATCGTCGCATTCCAGGTTGACCATTGTCAATCCTTGTGGTACCACCACCGGTACCGGTAGCAGCAGTAGTACCGGTAGCTGCAGCAGTAGTGATTACCGTGGGATCGCCCTTTGTGCTCTTCCGCCGACTCGACAACAACAACGAGACCAGACAACGAACACTTCTACCAACAGTACTAACAGTGACTCTAACGACGACTCTTGGTTCGCTGGTGTTCCAAAATCCGTGACGAATCCATTGGCACTTCTGTTAGGGTCTCAATTTCTACTCTTTATTGGCGTCGGCGCCGTCATTCCCAGCATTCCGCTGTACGGCAAAGAAATTGGACTTTCTCAAGCCGCCAATGGCATTGTCATTTCGGCACCCGCCGTGGCATTGCTCTTGTTGGCCAATATTTCCGGCAATGTCGCCGATCGAGCACGCAAACCCGCCATGATGGCTGGCATGGCATTGATTGTCGTGTCGGATATTGGCACGGCACTGGCACCGTCGTTGGGGCCCTTGATTCTGGCACGATTGGGATTGGGGGCAGGACGGGGGATATCGGAAGCAGGGGAACGAGGCATGTTGGCCGATTTGGCATTGCAAGTTCCGGCACTCCGTGGAAGAGCATTGGCGGCCCAGCAAGCCATGGTGGCATTGGGCATTGCCATTGGAGCCCCACTGGGAGGCTTGATTGTGGAACAATACGGACCACGGGCGTCCTTTTTGTGTGTCAGTGCGGCCGCCTTTGTGTCACTCGTCATGTACGGGTTCTTGCCCGAAACCAGAGGAGTGGCTATTACTACCGGTACGAATACCAATAGTGCTAATGACGACGACGACGACGACGTCAATGGTACATCCAAGCAGCAACCGCAAGAGCTTGTACAATGGACCACACTACTTCAAGACAATCAATGGAGAGGACTGGCACTCTGTCAATGTGGCGCCAGCTTTGGATTTGCCGCCAAAATTGCCAGCATTCCCATTCTTGCCACGGCAATCTTACCGGGTGGAGCCATCGGAGCCGGAGCCTTGTTGTCGGCCGCAGGATTGTCCGGATTGATTGGGGCGCCCGTTGGAGGATTCATTACCGATCGAGCGGGAGCTCAATTTGCCGCCATTGTGTCGGGTGTGTGCAGTGGTGTGGCGCTCTTGGGGATTCCTCTGGCATTGTCGCTGAACAGCAATATTAACAACATGGATGATACTACCATGATGATGTGGGCACCACAAATACTACAATCCATGGGACCCAATGCCCTCGCCTTTTCGGCGTTGGTCATTGCCTGGAGTACTTCCGTGGCGGCACAAGGTCCGGCCATGACAGCCTTGGCACAGGAATTGGCGCCGCCAGGATCCGAAGCCACCAGCATGGCATTACCGCGAGCGGCGGGCGATGGAACTTACATTGTTGCACCCTTTCTTCTAGGGACTGTGGCTGACAAGGCACTCGGCATGCCCGGGTTGGAATGTGCCGTGGCGGGGAGTGCCACAATACTGGGAGCCTTGGCATTGGCCGTCTTGGGACGTTCGCCCAAGGAGGATGCCGTACCGGTATCACGGCCAAAACCATGATGGGCCTCGATTTCAAAACTAGAGCCCTTTGCTTTCAGCTATCTATCTACCCAAGGCAGCAGACAGCTCCTCCAATGAGTTCCCGACAGGCATACTTCCTTCTCCTTTGGCAGAAGATAATAGATGGAGCTCATATGCATGCCTGTCCGTATTGACGGAGTACCATAGGAAAACCCAAAATTGCCTCCGGTGACGGTGCCTCGAACGTAAGCTAAAGGAGGAAGAAGGATTCGAATTCGAATGATGAATCGAAATCTACTGGTGCCTCCGCAATCAAACAAATCATGTAACTGAAGCATATAGAATACAGGACATTTCATGTCTGTAGTCGCGTCAAAAATGTTTCCTTTCCTTTCAGGCCCAGCCACAGCCACAGAGCAAGCTAGCCAGTGCAATCAAATGCAGACGGGCCATCGCAACAATAAAGCTTATCTCCAGCGCAGACAATGGGTCCTTCTGGAATGTATCCATAGTTACTTCGGGATTGGCTGCAGAGACTCGATGGTGAAGAAATGAAGATTTTCTAGTAAATTTTACGGGATCTGCGTGAATATCTTTTAGTTATGTATACATGTAACAGCCAGTTGTACCGAAGATATCTATCGAACGTACTTGTGAAAGGAGCCTTCACTGAGACTGCTTGACCTTCTCTGGACACCGCTCGAGCTACGTACTTGCTAGGGGAACACCTACCAATCAACCCCGGCTGGCTCATTGCCGAACGCTTCCTTATCAATCCCATCGTTAGTCACTGGCAATACCATCTTGGGGGGCATGTCCCGATTAACTCCAGGAAGCACAATACGGAACGCTTCCTTATCAATCTCATCGTTAGTCACTGGCAACAGCATCTTGGGGAACGACTTCCGATCAACCCCAGCTGGCTCGTTCCCGGATGTTTCGTTATCAATCACATCGGAAGTCACCGGCAATACCATCTTGAGGGACACATTCTGATCAACCCCAGTCGGCTCATTGTCGAACGCTTCCTTATCAATCCCATCGTTAGT